TACTCGAAAAAGGGAAATGAAGCGGTGATTTAAATCATTGCTGCTTCATTTACATCAAAATGGCTGCCGCGCTGTGCCAATCAGATGTTTAGCGGCACAGCGCGGTAGTCTGGACACTCCGCGGTCGACAAGGAAAGCCCTCGTGGAATGAGGTTTACCGGGGCAGTCAACAAGGACTTCCCTTGTTGACCACAGAGTGTCCAGACTACCCCGCTGTGCCGCCAGACAGCTGATCGGCACAGCGTGGCAGCCATTTTGATGTAAATGAAGCGGTGATTATTTAAATCGACGCTTCATTTTCCTATATCTAGTAAACTAATCTACATGGCTCCATCAACGCAGCCATGTAGTCCAGACATACCCTGAGAATCATAGTTAAGCATGTGTCTATACCAAAAGTTCACAGATTGACTATATTTAAAAGTATCCACTGAAGGCCTTCTGCACACAGGTGTAGGGAGATGGAAGGGAAGTCACTCAGTCTATTCACTGAAGCATCTGTTCACTAGCCTGATACATCTTTGAAAATAAGTGACTAAATTTTATCTTTATCTAAACTATTAAGAGAATTTTTACTTTGTTCTCATCATATTAGATAAGTGATATTCTGCTGATATAATGATGAGACATCAGAGTTATTACCAATGCTGTCTAGCTCTTGCAAAACAGTATAAAAAGTCTCTTATATTACTTTCAAAGCATTATGAAAACACCAGTTAGGAAAAGTGTTAAATAATAATAATTGATATTTGCTTTAATAGCCTATCTGTCTGCTATTACTGCTTCTTGTAGTGTTCTTACACAAAGTTCCTAAAGAAAACACAACCCAAACCACCAAAAAATGTAAATATTGCACTGCAAATTAAGAGAGCCATCTACTGGCAACTAGATGAAACCTTTAAAATTCATGAGGGCCAAATCTTGTCACATAACTCATGCAAGCAGCTCCATTCAAATGAACAGACTATACATAAGCAAAGTAGACTGGATAATAAGGATCTCTGAATGTTTTGTGTTCTCATTACATTTCTCAAACCTACCTTGCCCCTTTGAAAGACAAGACACAGGAAGGTAAGTGATTCAGCAAGTCAGTGGCAGAGCTGGGAACAGAACCTATGGTTCCTATCCCTGGCAGTAACTATTAGGCAGTAACTTCTGAAGATGGAGAAGTTTAGATAGAGCAAGGTGTTCTTTACCTCTCCCAACCTTCTCCCATCAAAACAATACAAAAGAAAACCACCCACTAAGAAAGCTGTGATGCAAAGCAAACTTCTTTCTAAGCCAGTGATTCCCAACATGGGAGGCCCACAATGGGATTGTGATTCCTCTCTGGAGCAGGTCATGATCTCAGTGGCCAGCAAGGTAATGCAAACACAGAGAAGGATTCCAAGCCCCTACCTCTGTCTTGGTCCCCATGATACTAGGAGAGAAAGGTGTTGACATTAGAACAGTGGGGATGGAAGAACTGCTAAACTCCTGCATCTACTACAGAAGTACACCTTTGGATTGAGTGGACTTGTAAGCTCTAAAGTTTTATGTTGTTTTGTTTTAGACTGCAGTTATGTAACAAAAAAACCCTACATTTGTAGGTTTCAATTTCATGGTAAAGAAATGGCATTACAAAGTGTCTAAAATGAATTGAATGATGTGTGTCTGGGATTAATTGAAAGATACAGTTTCTTTTATCATGTTATAGAGCAAATATTTGTAATAAAAATAACAATATAAAATGAGCACTGAACACTTCGTATTGTGTTGTAATTGAAATCAATATATTTGAAAATGTACAAAAACATCCACAAATACTTTATAAATTTCAACCGATACACTATTTTAAAGACTGTAATTAAAACTGCAAATAAGTGCACTTAATTTTGAGTTAATTGTGTGAGTTAACAGCAATTAATCGAGAGTCCTGCTGTGAAGCAAAGTAATTCCACATATATTGTTATTTACAGTGGCGATGTGTCGTTATTTTGTAATCAAAGCCTTCTTTTGCATGATCTGATGGCTGCACTAAGCAAAAAATACATGTTTTCATTCTCATAATGTGGGTGTCCTAGGGATTTACAGTTTATATAAGATGGCATGTTATGTGTCCTATCAAATCAAGACATAGTTATTAGACTTCATTGTTGTAGGGAGGTGCAGCAACCAATGTCAGGTGAGGGAACAGTCATGGTTTTTGGGCATCTAACTCAGAAGTTCCTAGCCCTGTCTGTGGCCCAAAGTTGGGGCAGGCTCTGGGGGTGGCGCTAGTTCTGGGGGGCTTTGTGGATACGGGGCTCTACAAGGTGAGGAGCTGGCACTGGGGCATTCTGGGGACAGGGCTAATATTTGGGTTTGGCAAAGGGGTTATGGAGGGGCTTGGAGCAGTGGTGTTCTGGAAGTAGGAGGCTGGCACTGGGGGGGTTGGTGGTGGGGGCTTTATGGGGCAGAGGGCTGGCACTGCGGTGTTTGGATTGGGGAGCTGGCCTGAGGGGCTCTGAGGGTAGGAGGCTGGCAGGAGGCTGGATGCAGGGGACTCCGGGGTCAGTGGCTGATGCTGGGGGGTAGTGGAGGGATGGTGGGCTCTAGGGGTTATGGCTGGCACTGGAAGGTTCTGGGGCATACCCAAGCCCCGGGCCTCAGAACTGCCTCAGACAGCTTCAGCTTCAGCAGCTGCCTGCCACATGGTGACTTCCAGAGCTGAAGCCGGCTGTTCATGGCAGCTCTGGGGGACTGGGGCTTTTGGTGGACCAGAAACATTTATTTGTATATTCATTATGTGAATCAAATATTACCAGTCCACCAAAGTTTGTGAATGGGTTTTCTGGTCCATGGTATAAAAAAGGTTGGGAACCACTGATCTAACTCATTGCAAAATGATAGGAAGTGAAAATCTTCGGTGACCTGTAACTCAAGACAGAGTCATATCAAAAGTGGAAATAAGGTTGAATTACAATGGATCAATATAAGTCTCTCTCTCTCTCTCTTTCTCACATGTGTGTGCATCATGTAGGGACAAAAATAGGCCAGGGTGAAAACTTTTTATAATACATTAGAAGCAAGAAGAAGACTAAGAACAGGGTAGGCCAATTACTCGATGAGAAGGAAAAGACAATAAGTGAAAAAGCAGCAATGGCCAGAGGTGAAAGTAAGCCAGGGTGGCACGCTCTGCCCTGATATCACCCTCCCTCTCCCAAGCCTGACTTCTGCATACCCCATACTCTTAACCCTGACTCCTATACCCTCCGTATTTTCAGCCCCCTGCCCTGAGCTCCTCCTCACCTCCAAGCACCTGTCCCCTGACTCCTGCTACCCCTATCCTTTCCCTTGGCACAGAGCACCCCCCACTTCACCCCATGCTTAAATTTCTTACAGGTATTGTTGTATCGCCCCCATCTCCTGACCTGAAGCCCCCCCCTCCCCACTCCCTGAACTCTGTCCTCATTCCCCTGTCCCAAGTCACAGAGCTCTGTCCCCACTGGCATCCTGTCCCCTGCCAAAGCACCCACTAGCACCCTTCCCCAGTACTATGTCCCCTGATCCCACCAACACAGTTGGGGCCACATTAGTGAAGCTTGGGGGGTGGGGTGGAGGAGGGTTTTTTTGCATCTCACTTGTGTGGCTCCAACTGACTTTTCTTGGGTCAGTGACCCCTGACTCAAGACAGGTTCCCTGCCTTTCTCAGAAATAAAGATAATGCAGAAACTTTTTGTTTGACACAGTATTTTATTTAAAAATGAAGCCTGGCCAACAAACCCCAAATTGGGGCCAAGCCCCCATCTGGCCAAGGCATAATAACACTCCTGAGCTCCCCTTTCCCCCAGACCCTACATCTGAGCCTATCATACACTGGAACCCCCTGCCCTGAGCCCCTCACATACCCCAACCCAAATTCCTGAACCCTCACATCCAGAAGTCTGTGGCTTGCTTAGTACCCTAACCCTACATCTGACCCCAACATTGCCCAGCCTGGTGCCCTCTCCTTGAGCCAGTGCCCCTTCTCCATCTTCTCCTGCATCCAGATTTCCTCCCAGAGCTTGCACCTCTCACTCGTTCCCACACCCAAATCCCATATTCCCACCCCAGACCCTACACATCCTGTCTCAACCTAGCAAGTTTATGGCTAGATTGCAGAAACAGTTGCAAATCATATTTCTCATCTTAGTCCTTATTTCAGGTAAAATCCTTCAAGTCAGAGCTGATCTTCTCTGGCCTGGGTCTAACAACATTTCCCCTTTTTAGTGTTTTGTTCTCTTTGGCTACGTCTACACTGGCCCCTTTTCCGGAAGGGGCATGTAAATTTCATGAGTCGTAGTAGGGCAATGCGCGGGGGATTTAAATATCCCCCGCGGCATTTAAATAAAAATGTCCGCCGCTTTTTTCCGGCTTTTAAAAAAGCCGGAAAAGAGCGTCTACACTGGCCCCGATCCTCTGGAAAAAGCGCCCTTTTCCGGAGGATCTTATTCCTACTTTGAATAAGCCGTGGAGGATATCATGAGCTTTCGTGGCCCACGTCTTCACATGACCAGAGTTGTACTCTGCAGTAAGTCCTAGCTTTGCAATGCACCTGCTGTGCAAGTCACTTCTCTCTCCTGTGCCTGGGTTGCCCATGGCTAAAACAAAACCCAGTGCCTTTGCAAAGAGCATTGATCTCTCCCCATGACTATGCAGGAACCAGGTGTTATGATGACTGGCTGCTCCCTAGCAGGAGATGGATAAGTAGGGAAGGCAGCCAGCAAGGGCAATGAACGGGGACAGCCCCTGCCAGCGCTGAGAATCGAACCTCTACCCTCACTGCATTCAGAGCGTCGCGTGCTCCGGGGCTACTAAGGCCCTCTCTCTCTCGGGGCGGTGCCTTCCGGCCACGAGGCAAGGGGGGGGGGGGGAGCATAGAACTTTCCCCTCCTAGCGCCACAAGAGGGGCGGATCCCAGCGAGAGAGAGAGAGAGAGTGTACGCCTGTCGCGCACGCGCAGCCTCGCCTTGCCGGCAGCGGGGCATGCTGGGACTTGTAGTTTCTGGCGCGTCCAGCGATGGAAGGCATCCCGTGACCGGCGGCCGGAAGTGGAGGTTCCGTAGCATTGGCCCCTAACGGCTCCTGCTTCTCCTCCTTGAGCTGTACGGCGGCTGCGAGGGGCCAGCGGGCAGAGCCGGGAGGTTGCGGAGTCTGTGCGGGATGGGCGCCCCTCCCCCGTTCTCATCCCGTGCTAGCCCACTCTTCCCCCCGGAGGCTGGAGGTAGGGGACGGGGATGGCGCGAGTGTCCCGCGGGCGGACAGGGGGCGGCGGGGGGCGGTTCCTGGGGGAAGCCCCTTCCAACGGGGCGGGTCTGTGGGAGGAGTTTAGGGGGCTCCCAAGCCCTCCCCCACCCCCTGTGGGGCGGGTTCCTCTGTGACCCCTTGCGGGGGGGGGGGGTGTCCCTTGGAGATTCTTAAAGGTCTTGCCCCAGTGACCTGCTACACAACAGGGGAAGCGCCTCCAGGGCTTGTTCTGTCCCCCCAGCCCAGGCGCTGCGGGAGGCAGAGCGGGGATGCTTAGTGAGAGGCATGTACCTTCCTGTCTGTTGCAGTTTTGGAGCACGGGGACCAGGTTAAAATCTTAACATGCTTCTCCAGCCAGGGAAGCCAGCAATCCTCTCTTGGATTGCACTGAGTGAGGCAGGACTAGGAATATCCCTTTCACCACCGTACAACCAGCAACAATAGATTCACTGGTGCTGTATAAATCCATTCAACCTTGTTAATGTAATTTAAGCTGCTCTTCCATACATTCACATTTCTTCTTTGGAAAACAAGCTATTTAGGAATCCTTGAGACTAGCTAGGCTAGGATTAATAATCAATCAAATGTCCGTTCCTAACAATGCCTAGTAACGCAATTCTGAAAACAATCACAGATTTAGTGTTTATTATGGTAACACTTGAGATCTCATCAAGAGCTGGACAATGTTGTGCGGGTCCAGATCTTGATTAGGGTATTGTACTGAACTGTCTAATGTGAAGCATTTACAAGGTAAGGGTTGGTCTGCCCTTAAAAGTTGTATTGGTATAACTGTTTGTTAGAGATATCACTGGCAATCACCCTAGTTTGTCACTGGCAATCACTCGCTGCAAAGTGCCTGTGCCCACAGCCAACTGCCTACAGGGTGTACCTTGGCTTAGACCATCCTATGCTACCACATTAATATTTTATTATTGTTTTTCCCAACCTAGTTATAGAAGTAAAAACTGTAATATGGACACAAGTAGCTGTGTTAGTCTCTATCCACAAAAAACAGTGAGGAATCCTGTACCTGTTGAAGTGAGTTTTTGCCCACAAAAGCTTAAGCTCAAATAAATCTGTTAGTCTTTAAAGTGCCACAGGACTCCTCGCATATGGACAGTTATACGGGTATAAAAGTTCCTTTATAGTCCTGAATGGGTAAAATGTTCTATCTTTGTCTGAGATAAAAGCTTGTTCTCTTCAAGGATACTGTTCTGAAATAGCCTTTACATTTATCAGAATGTAATTTGTTGACCGAATGTGTGATTTTGCTTAGAAAAAAAAAAAGTGACTGTAAAAATGATTCCTAGGCTTTCCATATTTAGTCTCTGTCAATTACTTCAATATGAATGTTGCACACTGTCATTACTGCAAGTGCAATCTCTTTCCTGAAAAACAAACAGGGTGGTTTTTTTCCCCTCACATCACCAGCAATAAAAATCTTGGAATTCAGAATTTCTCTAGCACTTCGCTCATGATGCATAAAGAAGAGTGGGTTAGAGCTTGCTCTTTTGTGGCTAATTGGCTGTTAGTAAAAAGTCTGTAAAGAAAACTTTCCACAATACCTAGGAGCCTGATAAGTCAGAGAATTTTGTGTATGGTACCTTCTGGCACTCTATTGTAGGATTATATTAATATGCAGGGCTTGCCGAGCTGCGGTGAGCCCCGCTCGCCAGCTGCACTGTCCGGCGATCTGCGCATGTGCAGATCGTTCTGCGCATGCGCAGATCGCCTGAGCCCAGCTTTTCTGGGTTGTAATCTACTCGCTACAGGCAAGTAGATTACACTTTGTGGAGCCCTGTTAATATGTCTTTATTAGACAATTTCTCAAATTTATAATAAACCTTTAGTGAACAAAAGCTTTAGATTTTAGAGGGTGCTTCCAGCAACCAGTATCTGTTGAACTTAATTCTCTTCTCACATTGACCTATTATTGTATCAGAGGGGTAGCTGTGTTCATCTGTAACTAAAAAAAACTTAAACAACAATGGTCCTGTAGCACCTTAGAGACTAACTAAAAATATAGATAGATAGTATGAGCTTTGTGGGCACAACCTACTTCTTCAGCTGACAAATAAGATGACCTTTTATTGTTATAACTCCACTCCTGATTCCTACCCACATGGAACTGAATAGCCCAGTATGTTTCACCCAAAGTGGAAGAAATTTGGCTATTTGAACTTAATATTCTTTTCAATAGGAAGATTTATAGAAAATAAATGTCTGAGAGTAAAAAGAAAAGTATGCCAATGCGGTTAGCATCTTTTAGGGGAAAACCAGATTTGTGTTTCTCTTCAGAATTCTTGTGTTTATTCCATTCCTGAGATTCGGCAGAGAACTTTTATAACTATTGGTTTCTATGTAGAAGCCATTAGTTGGCAAAACAGGTGCAATTTGGTCAGCTGTATTGCTCAATAGCAACCTTTCCTGTTAAGTGGTACTGATGGACAGCTTACTCAGGGAGTTCTGTTCAGTTCTCTCAAACCATTTAGAAGAAAAAAATCGGGACTATGCAGTTTTTATGTGTTATAAAGAAATGAGGGATTTCAAAGCTGAGTCAGTTTGTGCGGCAGCTTCTAACATGTTAATGAGAAATGCAGCACATACTTGTTTGTTTATTCCAGATTCAGTTTCCCTTTGACATCTTCTAAATAGTTTTAAAAAACATTCAGTGAATTAGTTTGCAAGATAATGGGTACTCCCACCATTTTATGTATTCAGTCTAGTAACATTGCTAAAATGATTACCTTCTAAAATCTTAACTAGACCGAATACATAAAATGTATGTATGAAAACCCATTCTCTTGTACAAAAGAAAAAAGAAACTAATTTGCCTGCACACGTTATTAGAAGTGATGTATATTTTGCAACAGTATTTATTCTGTCAATATTTTCTAGAGATCTTTGTAATCTTTTATAACAAATTGTTTCCATACAAAATAGTCTCAGTTCTGTTACATGTACAGCCTATTTTCAGTAACCACTGTCTATCTTTTTTCCCAAAAGCTCAGTACCTTCCTTAATCTTCCATCCCATCCTCATATCATCTCATCAGTAAATATACGCACACTCTAAATCAGACAGATTTATTAAGTGTTGGTTTAAGATACAAATAATACTCTGTCTTTTTATTTATATGTGGTCATAATCCCAGATGTGAACAAAATAAATGTTCTGCTCTAACCACAGATTGAAACTTGAGTGTGCATTCACATATACTAGCATGGTCTAGATCAGTGTTTCTCAACTAGTGGTACAAGTACCCTTAGGGGTACTTGAGAGAAGTCTGGGGGGGGGGGTACGTCAACAACTGAAATTTGGAGAAAACTGAATTTGTTAAGTTTTATTATTTTTTTTTTTACACCCAAAAATGTCATTGCCTGCCCAGCTACGATTAAGTTGTTTAAACAAATGTATTGCAATGGTAGGAAAAAAAGTGTGTCTGAAAACTGTAGGTACTTATAATTTTTTTTTAAAAGGGGTACTTAATAAAAAGGATTGAGAAACACTGGTCTAGATTAGGGATGTGAGCTGGTAACTGGCTAGCCAGCAAGCATTACTCTTAACAAGTTAAACTGCAGCTTGCCACCTCCAGAGGGCTGCTCTAGCCCAGAAGGAGCCAGGAACACAAGCCTCCCCGCATGCTTAAAGAAGATATTTTATTTAACTTTGCACAGGAGTTTATTGTATATTTGGAATTATATGGTTTTTATTACATAGTCACAGAACATGTGATTGTTTTTTAGTCCTGGAAGTGGAGGATTCTGAAAGTTTTATTGTTTCATTTTAGGTTTAAGTACCTAATCATGCTGGTGATGCTATATAACATATACTCTATTCCCACAGTTATATTTATTTTTTGTTTTTGCAGTAACAAATTAATATCTTGCACAACAGTGATGGCTTTTTCTCTAGAATTTGAATATGGAGGCCACAGGGACAGATGAAGTGGAAAAGCTAAAATCCAAGTTTATGTCTGCATGGCACAACATGAAATACAGTAAGTGAAACTTAATAAAATTCAACTCCATTAAAGTCAATAGTTTTGCCATTGACTTCAGTGGGGAGCAAGAATTTCACACAGTAAGTGTACTCGTATTAATAAAAAAATGTAACTTGGACTTTGAAACCAATTTACTAACAAACTAAACAATCTAGAAAAAAACACCCTTCTCTTTCAATTTAAATAAGGATTTGCTTTTTCAAATGACTGCCTTAATGCCAATCTGTTTTTTCTGATCTAAGCACAGATGACATGACAGTTTTATGCAGGCTCTAAAACAGAGAAATTATGAATATCAGGCTATGTCTAGACCAGTGGTTCCCAACCATTTTTATACCATGTACCAGGAAACCCATTCACAAACTTTTGGTAGACTCGTAACATTTTATTTGCATATTCATTATGCAAATTCATTTGCATAAAATCAAAGCCTCGGCTCCCAGAGCCACTGCAAACAGCCCCTCTCCTGTCTCTGCCCAGCCTCCAGAGGAGCCCCGTGCATGTCCCTATCCAACACAAATGCCATACACGTTTGTCTCCCGTCCCAAACCACATTCAAGGAACTGTGAGATTGTCACATGGCAAGAATGGGAGATGATAGAAGGAGGAGGATGAACTGGTGTTTTCAAACCCTGCATCAAATCCAGCGAGGAGCCAAACACTCAGTCCAGAGCAGAAAGAGGACAATACACAGGGATTTTATCTTGATTGTTTTGCACTGGGATGTTGCTAATCTGCCCAACCAGCTCCCTCTAGTGACACCAGTCTCATTCCTGCCCTGTCATAAAGGAGCAGACAAGGTGGGGACGGACAAAGCACTGCTTAGAAAACGGGGATCCCTCATCCCCAAGACACATGCACAGTTTGAGTCTGGAGCCAAGAGAGAGGAGACAGCAGGAAGAGAGGTAGAGGCTGGGGATGGGGGGGAGGCAGCTGGCGAGAGGTCAGGGAAAGAAGTAAAGGGATCAGCAAGGGAGCTGCAGGCGCTCAACAGCAAGGAGCCAGTCGAAACCCTGTGCACAAGAGAGAGGTGGGAAAAGAAGCCTGATGCAAGCTCACAGAGAGGGAAAAAAGAGTGGAAGGGAGCCTAGGCAAGGCGCCCATGCTGCTCCCTGCCCGTCTTTGAATGGGGGTGAGGGGAGTTGGGTATTTTATCACCTGAGGCTGTCTATCGATCACTCCTGCATTACATTTTACAGCATAGATAAATCTGCAGCTTTAGAGTAGCGTGAATATGCTTCTCTTCTCCCCGGTTCTCACACTGTACCATGGTGCCTCTCACAGCCCTGGACCAGGGAGCTCGGCGAGAAATGCAATCCCAGCTCCTGCGGCTCTATGTTTAAATGGGACGGGATGCAAATTGAGTCATGGCATTCACTGCTTAAAGCCTGCAGCTCCACGTCAGGCTTAGAACGTGCAGATCCCAGTGCCTGTGTGGTGCCCGGCTGAGCCCAGCAGTGCCAGAGCATGGGGGAGGGAGGTCAGTGTGCCATTTCTGCCTTCCCCTGGCCAGCTGGAGCATGCTGATACTGGAGCTCTCAGCTGGCCAGAGGGGAGGGGCAGAGAAGGGTCCGAATGGGAGGGGCAGAAAAAAGCCTGTCTGCTGGCAGGGAAAAGGAAGCAGGGGGAAGAATAATAAAAAATGTCAGCTGCAGGAAAAGAACTGAAGGGGAGCGGAGGATCAGAGCTCTCTGTGGTGCCTCCTGGGCATGGCCTGAAAATGTGCCACAGCCCGGCACTGGTCCGTCGCCCACCGGTTAGGAACCACTGTTCTGGACTATAGCAGCACAGCTGCAGCTATGCGGGTGTAGTGATTGTGGAGTAGATACTTCTTACATTGATGGAAGTGGCTCTTCTGTCTAAGTAGTGATAGCTAGCTTGATGGAAGAATTTGTGGCCTACATAGCCATGGAACTCAGGACATGACATTTTGCACAGCCCTGAGTGACTGAGCTAGGTTTAATTTCTAAGCATAGATCAGGCCTCAGTGTGAGCCGTTCTTATTGGTAGTTAACACAGGATGGAACTTACCTCTGCAGCACCTCCTGCTGATAGCTCCAGGGAATTAGCTCTGTCAACAGAGTGCCTCCTTCTGGTTGGTTTCTCCCACATTCACACTCTTGTTCTGGATCCACATTACTCCCATACAGCAGCATCCTCTTCAGGACACTGGCCTCTGACAATGCCCCATTTCTTGCCCCATTTCAGGGGTTGTATTGGCTGTTCTTAGTTTCTGCTGCCTTTATGGCCATAAGCTCCAGGGAATTAGCTCTGTCAACAGAGTGCCTCCTTCTGGTTGGTTTCTCCCACATTCACACTCTTGTTCTGGATCCACATTACTCCCATACAGCAGCATCCTCTTCAGGACACTGGCCTCTGACAATGCCCCATTTCTTGCCCCATTTCAGGGGTTGTATTGGCTGTTCTTAGTTTCTGCTGCCTTTATGGCCATCTGTGGCCTCCAAGTCTAGTGCCTCTCAGGAAAAAGCCATAGTATTTATGGGCCACGCTCCTCTTCCAGGATGAGGGGCGGGCGGGCAACAGCATTTCCAAATTTCACCTGCCACTGTGGCCAACTGTGGTTCTAAAGCATAGCCCCTCTGTCTCTGGGGCAAGCCACAGTCTGTTTGGGCCATGCCTTGGTAGCAAGGTGTAGCGCAAGGGGAGGACCCAGGCCCTCCCACTATTCTGCGGCTCAGCCCAGGGACCTTCTGATGGCAGCCTTGGCCTGTTCTCCTCTACTCCTCTTTACTGCTTCTAGTTCCCTAGGCTACTTTCCTTATAATCCCTGCACCTATTTGGCTTTTGTCACAAGGCCTGCAGCCTGGCAGGTATCAGGCTGGAGCCTTTAGCTCCCCTTAGCCTGCCCAGTACTGCGTTACAGTCTTCTTACCCATCCAGGTCAGGACCTAACTGTCTCCCTGTTGGACAGCTTCTTTTATATCTGGCAGCCCCAGCAAGCTGCCCTCTGATTGGCTTTTTAAAAGCCTCTCCTTGATTGGCCAGGATTCTGCTCAGGCTCTTTGCTGCTTGTTTTAACCCCCTTCCTGGCCAGTGTGGGGGAGTCTCTCCACCACAGTAGTGTATTTTTAAAAAGTTAAGACTGGAGACCATATTCTGTCTCCATCAAAGTCAATGGGGTATGGATTTCACCTTTTGTCTCTTATGTCTCAAAACAGTTCAGAAATAGGCAAACCTCAAAGCTTGGTCAAGACAAATTAGTTAGCTTTTTAACCGGCATCGTCCCAAACCTAGTTCAGCCTTTACCCTAATTTTCCCATGTCTCTTCAATACTTAAGGTGAAAATTACCATCTTAAGTCAGCAGGAGTTATTTGTGAGTGAATGGTGGCAGCAGTTGGGAAGTTGGTGCAAAATGTTTGCTAACATTACTAATTGAAGTCAGGATGTGCAACAGTTAAGATTAAACATTCAACCTTAATTCTGTCCACTGCCGCTATGTGTTACACTATTTTACTTCTCAATGAGTATGTAAAAGTTGGAAGTTCAACACCCATTTTACACATCCATATTTTTATTCCTTTTCCCCCCCTCAAATATACACCTTAAACTTGTGACTAAATATATACATGTGGCTGTTTTAGTATTGCTGTTGGAAACTTAACCAGAATATTTTAACACAGTAATTGAAAATATGACAAAATTAAGCAAAAAGGCAGAGTTCAAACTTAACTTGTGAATTTCACTACTTATCTATACAACCTGAAAACTACATAAACATCTTATGTGGATATAAATGTATTTACAAGGGATAAGTTACATTAACTGTGAATATGAATCCATTCCATATTTAAGACAATAGAACCCGTTTGTATTATTCAGTCTAGAAAATAATTCCAAGTCCATTGTAATGTTTCCATGTTCTTGCTAATTTGTGTGACTTTTTGTGTGACATGGTGGGTTGATTTAAATCAAGTTTCCCATTTACACTACTTTACATTTCTTCAAACAATGGTGCAAATCTTATCATTAAAACATGTGAATTTACAACTCAGTACCACATTTTATAACCTCTAGAAGGATGTACTTTGTGTAATTTTTTTAGATACCTTGACTTTTATTAGTTTAGGTAATTAGTACACAATTCTCATTACCAGTGTCAAGCTCAGTACATTAGTAACGGTGAAAACTAAATGGTACAAACAAACACAGTAGCACTTATATTTATTAAACTAAATCTTAAATGTTACATAAATATTTCACATTTGCAATTGCAACAGTTTCCTGAGTTGCTGGCTGTCAAACATTTTTATTTAATTTTCAAGTTTTATTAATTCCAACAGACAAGTCCTCAGAACACTAAATCAGTGGTCATCAACCAGTGAATCAGGATCTACCGCTAGATCTTGGCGCCTCTGACAGGTGATCCTGACTGGTTTGGCTGGGAGGCTATCAAGTGCCAGCACATCAACTGTCCCTCCTCCCACTGCCCTGTTGCTCCTTCCCAGAGCCTCAGAGCAGTCCCCTAGGAGCCTCCTTCTTGTTGCACAGGGTGGGAGAGACAGATACAGACAGCTGATGTCACTCTGTCCCCCTTCCCTGTACCCCATCTTCACAGAGAAAGGAGGGTGGAGCCTCAGCAAAGAGGTGGGGCAGAGGCAGGGCCTCAGAGAAACGGGGGGCAGGAGTATGTGGCTTTGAGGTAGATCCTGGACTGACTTAAATTCAAAAAGTGATCTTGTGCTTAAAAAGGTTGGAGACCACTGCACTAAATGAATGGTGTTCTTAACACTTGTACAATTACTTCTCATTTTTTCCACCTTGATGTGGATTTGATTCCAAGTTACCATAAAAACTAAGACTAACTGTGCTTGGAGTGCACTTCATTTTGGAGTAAGCCCCATTGAAAACAAGTGTATGGGCTTGTGTGTATGCTTTAGGGAAGTTGAGTTATGCTGAAGTAAAATAGGGAATAGACCTGAGACATCACCATTATGGTCTATGATAATGATGTTCGAAAATAAGAGGCATGTATTATGTAATATAAATAAGAAAATGACACTCAGTGGCAACCAGCAACTCAAGATTCTCTTACTGCAGCTTTTTGTATCATATACTTGGGTGAAAGATTCTATGTCTCATTAACTAATTATAAACAAGTCATAAGGATTAGCTAAGATGAACTCTATTTTTTTTTCTAGCAACACCCTGCATAGCTAATAGATTGAAAATATACTTGTTAAAATCACACTTATACTAAAAGGCATTGAGAGAGTCTTGAAGAATGATGCATTTCAAGTTGATTCATAGTGTTCTTCAGATACATCCACATCATGGTCTCCCAATAAGCAGTTTTCATTATGAGGTTTCATTCTTTTAGCTAGGCCCTGCGTCATTTTCTTGCACTGCTTACAATTGACACATTTTCCTTTTTTACCCATGGAATTATTTTTGTCATTATATTCCAAGTTAGGGTCTCTTTATACACCCAGAAGCCATGACCATTTCAAGAAGCAAGAGCTGGTTATTAGGCTGGTCAGACCAGAGCCATTAATTCATTTTTATGAGCCTGTAAGTATAGATATAGCATGTTTGTGATAAGATTTAATTTGAACTGTTATTTTTAAATGAGAAATTTAGTATTTTATTGATTATTTTTAAAAAATGTAAAAAAGATTTAAATTAAAAAAAAAACCGACTCTCTTTTTTCTATCCACCTTGTTGTACAATCACATTTTTCTGGAAATATTTTGGAATATTTCAGACACAAACTTTCTATCTCTTTTAGGTTGGGTAAAGAAAACAAAAACTTACTTTAGCAGAAATTCTGCTGTTTTCTTGCTGGGGAAATGTTATCATTTCAAGTCAAATGGTAAGTATAAAGAATTTAATTATTTTTGGAGTTCATTTTGGAACTGCTTTGTGAAGGTATTTTTTAATCCTCTACCAAAACCTTTATTAATAGAGAATTTATGTTTACAATTTAAAACATTCTCTGTTAAGTTTGAAAAATTCCCAGTCTTCATACCTGTTGATCCCATTGTTTGCACATAGGCCAGAGAACCTAGTCATTGTCAAATCAGACTTCATCCATTCTGTGCATAAATTCTATAATCTCTGCTTGATATAATCTCTATTAATCTGTAAAATGGGTACTGAGGTTTTTCAAAGGTACTGCATAGACTCAGCCTTGTGCGGGAGAAGGAAATGATAATACCGACATCAAGTAAAACCTTCCTTGATGATTTCCTTGTCCCTTTTAACTCTTCCCTATGCAAATTTGCCCTCATATGGAAGCTATTTCCCCAGCATGCCTTTCTTGATTTGGCCAATTATATTTAGCAGGACCAACAGCTGCTTACTTAATATGGCCATTTCAATTGACAGCTGTTGTCTGAATCATTCTTTGTTTCAACTGCTTACATACCTTTTATGTCTCTCTTCAGATTTTCCTTCTTGTTGCTGAGGAGTTACTGGAGTCTCCCAGGAGATACCTATGATTTTAATAGAATAATTTTGTTTTAATTTTATCAACAAAATTCCTGTGGTAGTTAATTTCAAAGCTGTAATTTGTGTCTGTCTTGCAGAACCCAGTGAACTCTCTCCAGATGGATCCCACTTAGATATAGTCAACAAAGTAATTTCTGGAAATGTAGAAGAGTTTCGTAAAGATTTTATTTCTAGAATATGGTTGACTTATAGAGAGGATTTTCCTACAATAAAAGAATCTGCCTTGACAACCGACTGTGGTTGGGGTTGTACACTGAGAACTGGCCAGATGCTGCTGGCTCAAGGGCTTGTGCTTCATTTTCTTGGCAGAGGTGAGTATGAAATGTAGATCATATTTCAGGCATGTCAAACTGGAAGCCTACTAAGGGCCGCACAAACGAAAACTGATAGTTTTCAGGGCCATCTAGGGTTCCCAGATGGTTTGTCGAGCAAAAAAAAAAAAAAGGTGCCAGGCAGAAGGCACCAGTCCTGGACACCTGGCAACCCTAGAGCCACCAAAGAAAATATACTTTGTCGGAAAGTCGTAGTTATTTATTATTATAGATTATGTTTTAGGTATATTTTATAATATTACAATAACTTGATGTGTAAAATTATTTGCTCATATTAAATAATTTAAAAATTAATTTGATATAATTTGTAATTTAAATTTAAGGTGCTTCTACATTTTGTATATGATACATAACTTGTTTTGTTGAAATAAAAGAAGTATAGACCATGGTTAATCAAATAGAACAGGCTTCTATGAAAATTTCAGCTACTTTGTAAGTCTGAGATTTTGCATAAAGATATAATTATTCATGCAATTACAAAACATGACATATCTATTGATATAAAATTAATATACATTTTGTGATTTTATTTGTGAATAAATAAAAAACAAAATAACCCTTTCCTCTCCCCCACACCCAGGCACTCCCATACCCCCATTCTAACCCAATCTCCTTCCACTCCCACAGAGCCAGGCCCCCCCCAACCTAATGCCTCCCTCCTCCCCCAGAGCCAGACACTCCCAGCCCCCTCCCCCTTCCCAATCTAGTGCCCAGATGGCCATGAGCAGATCGGCTGGTCACCCGGCTCTGATCTTCACTCCACCACGTGCTCCGAGCGGCCAGCAGGCCACACTTTATTCTTTTATAAAAACGTAGTGGCAGGCCACAAAAAATTTTGATCCGGCCACATGCAGCCCTCCAGAGGCCTGTTTGACATGCCTGCTGTACAAAAATGCAGTCTAGTTTTTCAGTTATATAAACAGCAATAGGCCTCCTCCTACAAGAGCTAGGGATAAGAAGGGGTAGCCTTTGGGAACATAACATAAATGGGAACTGAGCCCCAGGGCTGCTGAGCCCAGCCCCCCACCATCACAGGCAACCCCATCTTATAATTACACTGATTAATTTTGTTCAGTTGTCCCTTAAAACCACGCTGCGGGACCAACCCGGCAGCACCCCAGCTGCTCTGCCCCAGGTGTCCCCAAGTCAGCTGCTGCTGAAACTGATCAGCAGCTGACTCCAGGAAGCCGGGGCAAAGCAGTTCCAATTGTCCGGCTTCCCGGAGCACTTCCGGGTTCCTGATAGTGCAGGACCATCAGGAGTGCCGGAGCATTTGATGCCGGACCAATGGAGTTTTACTGTACTAGCTGCTTCAAAAGAAACTTCATGAAACCCTGTAGAAGTTAGTTTTGTCGACAGTGAACATTTCTTCCTAATCCTTATTATCCAGAGGTTAATGTATGGCCAAAGTAGAGTGTTTGTCTATTTAAAAACACCTCACTTAAAAATAAAATACACGTCTTTACTGCATGTTCTTGTTATCCATGTAAATGTTCAATTCTTTTTAGAGACCTATTAGGTTCTTGATCTCAGTGATATCTTGTGTAATGAGTGTTGTTGTCTAATTGTGGGCTGTGTTAGGAAAATATTTAATAGATTTAAATGTCACATTTTAATTTTCTTTAGTTCTTGTATCATGAGAGTGGGTTAACAGAAATCTCTAATCTATTTTCTGTATCATTCTCTATTGTTTCACTGGTGGGACTTGGAAAAGTCTTTCTGCTTTCCTTTATATTTTCTTATCTTAATCTTGTTCTTTGAAGCTACTCTTATATAGGCACAGAGTCCATTGGGCAAATAGATTGCTTTCAGGGTCTTGAACATATTTCGTCCCTTGCTCTCTCCAGTCCTTTAAAACCAAGAGGTGATAGATTGTAAATACAAATATGTCTCCTGCATGGTACAAGTTGAAACTGTAATCCAGACTTCCCTAGTCCAGCAACACCCCTGGTCTGGTATCACTGGGGTGACCCCATGGAGTCAGAAGTGTTGCCAGAGTGTGGGGGACCAAGGCAGTGGAGCCCTGAGTAGCAGTGGAGTGTGGCGCTCTGGGTGGTAGCGGGGCTGCTGGGGAGAACCCCTGGTAGCAGCATGGCTACTGGGCAGAGCACAGAGTTGATCCTCTCTGGCAGCAGTGGGGCCGCCAGGTGGAGTGCAGAGCAGCCCCCCTCTTAGCTCTCCATGGGGAAAGCAGAACCCCAGTCAGCAGCAGGGCAGACAAGGAAAAGCAGAGTCCATGGTGCATTGACTTCCCTGGTCCAGCAAATTCTCTGGTTCCCGAGGGTGCTGGACCAGGGAGATTCAACCTGTAGTTCGTTTCAGTACCACTAGGTCTACAAGCCAGTCAGCTTCTCAGTTTTATCATCCTTTTGGTTTTTGGCTTACCTAACAATGCTCAGTAACTATGTTACATTTACATTAGGGATGTGAACAAGTAACCAGTTACCCGATAAGCATCACCTTTATCAGATGATGCTTACTGAGTGACGGTTAACCAGTGCCAGGAAACAGCCTCCTGCCCACGGCCTGCAGAGGGATACTCCAGCCCTGTCAGGCCCTCCATGCTGCTAGCAGAGACAGGAGCTGGCGGTCTGGGGACAGAAAGGAGCCAGCAGCCTGTCATCACAAGAGGGCAGAAGCCCCCTTGCTGTATGGGGTTGGGGACTGCTCCAGCCAGGCTGGAGTGGTCTCTAGCCTGGTATCCTGTTTAATCAGTTAACTGGTTAAATGTTAAGCTTAAATGTTAAATTTAACCAGTTGACTGATTAAAAGGGATTTTACATTCCTAATTTAAATTTGCTTCTTCCACGATTTCTGAATATTCCTCTAAAGAGCTTAATATGAAGCCAGAGATTAGTAAGTCACTTCCTATGACTGAAATCTTTCTCTTATACATGTTGAAGTAGGTATTGTCAAACTGTAATCCATAGTTTTTATTTTGATATTAAATTGAGTTTACACATTATGGGAATTATGCAAGTTTTTATGTTTAGCAGAATTTTGCATTGAAGATGCATATGTGCATCATAGTTCCTGGGAGAAACTGGAGGAGGTTATAACATCTGGCCAACATAAGTTTAGGCTTTTAGCAGCTGGGAAGACATAGCAAGTGGTTTGAAATTGTGAGTTGAGAACACTAACTGCAGGTTTATATTAAAATGATCACCAGTGAAATAATTTAACTTGACATTTAAATAGTCCTCATTAAGTATGAGAGTTGTAATCCATTTGCTTCATTGAGTTTACACCTTGCAGACACCCTGACTAGGGATGTGAATGAGTAGTCACCTAGTCGATTAACTGATAAGCTTAAGCTTGTTGGTTAATCTAGTTGACTCCTTGCTTCCCGCCTCCCTTGCTGCCTGTGATACAGAGGCACCAAAGCAGGGGAAGGGAAGCAGGAGTTGATACTTGAGGGACCTGGCTTAAAAGCTGGCCTCCCCTCCGCACTGCTGCCTCTCACCGAGACTCCTCACCCCCAGCCTTCTCCTACCCCCTTCCGTTCCACATCCCCATTTTCAGCCTCCTTCTGGCCAGACTCCCCAGCCTCCAGTCATCATAGTAGGTTGGCCGGTGGTCTGCATTGAGCATGGTGGGCTTCAGGCCAAAAGTTAGAGAACCACTGTCCTACAGGTTTATGTATGTTACCTTTCCTGATGTCTGATTTGTGTCCATTTATCTTTTGGCGCAGAGACTGTCCCGTTTGACCAATATACATGGCAGAGGGGCATTGCTGGCACTTGATGACATATATCACGTTAGTGGATGTGCAGGTGAATGAGCCCCTGATGGTGTGGCTTATGTGGTTAGGTACTGTGATGACATCACTTGTATAGATATATGGACAGGTTGGCAGTGATAGGTTCCTGGGTAAGCATTTGTGTGGTGTGTGGCTGCTAGTGAGTATTTGCTTCACGTTGGGGGACTGTCTATAGGCAAGGATTGGCCTGTCTACCAAGGTCTGAGAGAGTGAGGGATTGTTTTCTAGGATAGGTTTTAGTTAGCAATGATGCACTGCAAGGGTTTTACCTGGGGGCTGTAGGTGATAACCAGTGGTGGTCTGTTGTTTTCCTTGTTGGGCCTTACTTAAAGTAGGTGATTTCCAGGTACTTGTCTAGCTCAGTGAATCTGTTTATTCAGTTCACTAGGTGGGTATTTAAGTTTTAAGAATTCTTGATAAAGATCTTATAAGTGTTTGTCCCTTTCTGAGGGATTAGAGCACATGTTATTGTATTTTAGGGCTTGGCTATAGACAATGGATTATGTGATGCTTCTAGCTTCCATCCATGACATATGTAGGTAAGAATAATGGTCAATAGGATTCCAAAATAGGATAGTGTTTGTGTGGCCATTATTTATTTGTGTTGTCATGTCAAGGTAGTGGATCTCTTGTGTAGATTAGTCCAGGCTGAGGTTGATAGTGCGATGGAAAATTGTTGAAATCCCTGTGAAATTCTTCAAGGGTCTACTTCTCCTGGGTCCATATGATGATATCATCAATGTGTAGCATAAGTAGTGGAGGAGTCAGTTAGCTAAGGCCATGTCTTCACTCTGGGGAAGATCAACGCTGCTGCAATCAAATTTCCGGAGTTTGATTTAGTGGGTCTAGTAAAGATGCGCTAAATTGAACTCAGAGGGTGCCCCTGTCACCAGCTGATACTCCTGCGAGGAGTAAAGGAAGTGTTTGCTTCCATCAACCCCCTGCTATGGGGATGGCAGGGAAACTCAAATCAAGGTACATCGACTCCAGCTATGTCATTAACATAGCTGGAGTTGCTTATCTTGATTCATCTTTCCTCTTTAGTGTAGACCTGGCCTTACTGTATTGATATGTACATTCACCTAATCTGTGTCTTGTAATTATACCCTAACTGGCTAAGACTGCAGGGTCCATTATATCCTCTCCTGGAAAATCTTGCTAGCATTAATAGCTAAGAAAGTTAATATAATGTGACTGGTGTCTTCCTTTCTTCCCCTTCTTTCCAGCACAAATAAAAATAGATCAACCACATTGTATTGCAGTTGAAATTTTTTTCTTTGCCTATATTCGTATCAGCAGCATTTGGATGTCTATGTAAAGCCTCAGTTGGTTTTATTAAAATTGGCACTTTTTGTGATTATACAGAAAACTTACTTTTAAGAAAACGTGTAAAATATATCTTTTAAAAATATTCTGTTGCAGCCTGGACATGGCCGGCTGCATTGAACATTGAAAATTCAGATTCTGAATCATGGACAAGCCACACTGTAAAAAAGCTGACTACATCATTTGAAGCATCACTTACAGAGGAGACAGAACCCAAGGTCCTGTCAAATGATCATAAGGAAGCACTAAAGAGAGACTGTGATGACAGTGAAATAAGAGATGAAATTTATCATAGAAAAATAATCTCTTGGTTTGGAGATTCTCCACCAGCATATTTTGGCTTGCATCAGCTAATAGAATATGGAAAGAAGTCTGGGAAAACAGCTGGAGACTGGTATGGGCCTGCAGTAGTAGCACACATTTTGAGGTAAAATATTTTAAAATTATCCATCTTTATTGCAATGCCTTGAGTGTTACGGGAGAAACATTTAAAAATGTCTTGAGATTTCTTCAGGGTAATTGGACCCTTAACCATTAATAATTGACTTAGCAAAATGTCCATGTTACTAGCAATTTAGAAGAGATAGGAAGGGAAATAGCAGATTCAGGAACTGAAGTATGAGTATCCAATCTTGTCATTTATTTCTGAAACATTCCTATTTTTCTCCAGTCTAGGCAACAAGAGACCTAAGGTCTCTCCACACCTGATCTTTAAATCGAGCTGCCTTTAATGAAATGTTCTAAAAACTAACCACTCTTTCATCCTTGAAACATGCATAATATTATAGGGGTTTTTTTTTTTTGTACTGTAACCTGGGGGCTGTAATGTAATGAAATGTCAGAGCTAAAATGGATGTTTTCAGCATTTCTTTGCACACACCAAATTCTTGTGAAACTGTAAATGTGTGGGTCTATTAATATTATAATTATATTATAGTAAAAGTAAAGGATCTGTGACATTCAATGTGAGTAAAAAAAAAAAAAAGTCAAATGTCTTTATTCTTTGTGCCTCTGTATGCCATTTCTTTGGCTACTACAGGTTGAACCGCCCTCGTCATACACCCTCGGGACCAGAGTGGTCCCTAACAAGGGAATTTGACAGACCAGGGGAAGTCAGACGCCCAGGCTCTCTGGCAGCTCCCCCCCTGGCTGCTACTCCAGGAGAACCCAGAGGCATGACCTCATGTGGTTTACCTGCTTAGGTCTGCTATCCCCAGCCCACTCCCGGGACTTTGCTTACTGCCTCTGGCCTCGAGTACATGGCAGCAGTTTCCCTGACTCCAGTCCTGCACACGTGGAGGTAGCAGCTGCTCACAGGGTTCCCTGGCCCGTGCGTGTGGTGGTAGCAGCTGCTCCTAGGGTTCCCCATGAGGGCCAGGGCCAGGGAGCTCTGGGAACAGCTGTCACCATGTGGGGCTGGGGTTGGGGAACACTGGAAGCAGCTGGCAGCAGGCCCAGCACTTGAGCAAGGCGGTTGCCTTGGGCCCTGGGCTGCTCTGCTCCCAGCCCTGCCCACCTGGCCACTCACTCAGGGCCCCGTGCTGCCCTGCTCCTGGCCCCACCCACCTGGCTCAGCCATACTGCCTTTGGCCTTGCACAGTTTGGCCGGGCCTGGCTGGCAGCTGCTCCTGGGGCTCTCTACCCCCAAGTAACTGCCCCTGAAGGCTGCCATGGACTACACCGGATCCACTTCTACTGCTCTCAAGCTCTGCGGCCAGAGCTCTCTGGTCTAGCAACATCTGTGATCCTTCCAAACCATGGATGTTGCTGGATCAGGCAGTCCTGGATGAGAGAGGTTCAACCTGTACTTATTTTGGTTCTTATAGTCCTATGCTTTAGGTAAGTCCCAGTTTAGCCATAACAGAATCATTAGTAAGTCACCTAAGCATGAGAGGTCAAAGTCAGATGTAATTTTTCTACATTTATCTAAATGCTGGAGTAATTTCCATTTGATGATCCCCACATTGAAAAACTATAATGTTTGTGCTATGACAGGTGAAAGTTATTTATGTATTTGCCTGTATTTTGTAATATTTTCTTCATGTGATAGATAATGGAAATTTACTTTTTTGTGAAATTTCTATACATATTTTCTACTAACCCATTTTCTAATTTGCAAAATAATATTTGGCTTCAGGACTCACACATTCAAATCATGCATTCCTTTCAACATAATTCTCACTTTAGTTCAAACACTGCAAATTTTTCCTTTCCTAAAACTCTTTCTCCCTTACTGCATTACTGAAAATGTATAGCTCTTCCATAACTTAAGAATATCTGTATTAAATGATTCTTCAGAATATATTGTGAAATAGAGGGATAGTGGTCATTTTATTCAATCACATATCAGAAGTCAAAGGCTAATCTTCTATTTTGAACAGATTAAGTTCTTTACAAATGTTGTCCTTCACTGATCATGATTCAGAGTATCGGCATATATTTTCTTTTTATTCTTTAGGTCCATTACTATTATTCTACTGAAGCTAGTTTAGTACCGCAATTATCTTTTTACAAATTTCACTGAAATCTTGGAGCTGTTCAAATGTTAGTTTTTGTTCTAATAATCTGAAGCTAATTCTATAGGTCTTTAGCTTGCCATCTTAGTTTAGTTATGTGAGCTGAAAAACAGTTGATACTGAGTGATACTACTTTAGAGCTTAATGAAAGGAACCCTATCAATTAAAAAACATTCCCAACAGATATGAGATTTTTAATTTCCTATATTTATAAAAAAAAAGAGTACTACAACCAAAAGCATGTGGATTGCTGGTGATGTTTGTGTTTAGTTAGTTAATTTTGTGCATTTAACAATATTCTGTGTATTGTCACACTCACTGTTTCTTTTTAATAGCCTGTCCATTTCTGCTTTGTTGGAATGGCTTTTAAAAACATTCTATAGGGATGAATGGGGAAAAAACAATAAAATAAATTTCAATTTATTTTTATTTAAGGGGTTCCTGTTTAAAAGGCAATCTGTCAGAAACGGGCGTGTTTTGAAATCAGTTGCTTTTAAATTCAAATTAATAGCATTTCTAAAAATCAAGAGAATAAATTCAATTTACTTTTGATTTCTTGATATGAAATACTCAATCAAATAATCTTTTATTTGCATTTAGAAAAGCTGTTGAGGAATCAAGAGATCCTGAATTACAAGGGATAACTCTCTATGTTGCTCAGGACTGCACAGGTAAGTGATGTGGCTATTGTGTAGGTTTTAGTCAACTTTCTAAGCACTTTCCATATGCTTTTCAATTAATGCTCAACAACATTACATTTTCCAAAGAAAAAACTAAATGCTATAAATATATTTTGAAATCCTAAATATTGTAATAATAAGTTCAGAGCTGATATTGATTCCTGCATCACATCTTTGGCTTTTGTTTTGATGAAGCAAACATAACACATGGAAAGCTTAATAAATTGCTTGAGTGCCATCATCCTAATCAGATGTCAAAAAATTGTTTGTGGATGCTTTATTCATTCTAATCTGTGTGGTATGTATAATTTCACTTAGATGACTTTTTAGTTGATTCTAAGGAGTCTTTTGGTTAGGCCTACTCTTCAAAATAAAAAATGTGGTTTACATCTTCCTTTCATATCTTCATTTTTTCCTTTTGGTGGAGTGCAGGACGTGTTAGAGACTTAAACAAAGACACAAACCAAAATAAAATACTGTCGGTAGTTCAATGTATTATATCTCTCTCTGTATAAAAAAGATTTTCCTGACAGGCAACAGAATGACACCATCATGCTGTCACAGTCATTGTCCGCGAAAGAGGCCAGAGAGAGGAGGTTTGGCGAGCATAGCGGGCAGGTGGCACAGCCTCCTAATGCATTGTAAAAATATTTTAAGCTGCATTCTCTTTGCAACAAGAAGGTCCCTTTTTCTTGCAGGACTGTGTCCATGGGAAAGTTAATGCACAGTTTTTGATTAGTAATAAATCTGATCAGTTTTCAAGCTTAAAGTTGTGAGCAATCTCATAAAACAAACACTGTGATTACCTATTTTCTACTGTTAACACAATGTATAAGACCTCTGAAGAACAAAATGCTTTTAAGTACTTGGTTGTTATAATTAACAGGGCAGGTTAGATTACGGTTCTGGGGGGATGTGCAGGATGACAAGACAAACTAAATTTGTAATAAAACTTTACACTAGTGACTGACATCTAGGCTTTTAATGGAAAGCTGTGTTTAGTTGCCAAAATTATTCATTTTTGTGATATACCTGATCTTGGGAGATCATAGAAAGGAAAGATACTGCTGTATTATCAAGCTAGTTTTAAAGGGACACATTCAACTTAATTATTTATTGTAAACAAATTTCCTTACCATGTTACAATTTACACCTTAGGATATTAAATGTGAGAGAATTATAAAAAGCCCTAATGTAGTCTTGACTTAACTATTGGACTTTATTTTTGTCTTTTATGTACTTCGCTAAGTGAAGGATGGAAAACAATGGTATTAGTTTTTTTAGTTTAACTCAGAATCTAATACTATATTGTTTGAACATAAAATTATCAGACGCATCGATGAACATAATTTATTGGGGAAAAGTCAACATGGTTTCTGTAAAGGGAAATCATGTCCTATTAATCTACTAGAGTTCTTTGAGGGGCATCAACAAACGTGGACAAGGGGAATCCAGTGGATATAGTATACTTAGATTTCCGGAAAGCCTTTGGTGACAAGATCCCTCACCAAATGCTCTTAATTAAAGCAAGTTCTCATGGGATAAGAGGGAAGGTCCTTTCATAGATTGATACCTGGTTAAAAGACAGGAAACAAATGGTAGGAATAAATGCTAGGTTTTCAGCGTGGAGAGAGGTAACTAATAGGGTCCCTCAAAGAGCCTCTCCCCTAAGAACCCTCCGATCGCCTCCCCCACTGAGCCATCCGAACCACTGGATCAGGAGACCCCCCCCTCCACACTAGACCTCACCCTACTGAATCCCAAACAGCGGCACCCAGACCCACCCTACCAAGCTCCACTCTGCCAGACTTCCTCCTCACTGAACCCTAACCACCTTCCCTTTTACTCCCCTGTAGAATCCCATTCACCCCAGCACCCAGAATCCTTCCTTGAGCTCCTATACTTCCAGATTCCCTCACTGAGTTGCCTAATCCAAGACTGCACCACACAGAATCCTGGTACTCTTGAGGGAATACTTCACACATAAAAAATTAAAATTCTGCAAAGTTTTGCATATTTTCTTAGCCAGAGTAACACAGAAACACAAAATACTATAATCACAACTATTTTGGTAATTAATTTCAAAATACTTGTCAGCAAATAATTGGAAATAGTAAGGTTATACTATGTTGTTTTAACAAATAACGTGCAGAATTTTATAGAAATTTTTAAATATTGTGTGTAGGATTTTTAATTTTTTTGGCACACAATTGGCTCAGGAGTAAATGATAGAACATATGATGCTTTTAATTCCCTGCCCTAATCATATGATATGGGTTCCGTAATAGAAGTAATAATTTTGAATTATGGCAGAAGTTAGGTCATAAAGGTACAGTATGTGTAGAGCAGCACAGAGGAGGATTTCATGATGGATAAGTTCCCACTGCTAGTCACCAAAAAGGAACAGTTAAGTAGAAACAAAGCCAGGAAAGCAAAATACCTGGAGATTTGAGGAGAGAGGAACTATGCAAGGTAGCAAGAGAGAGAGCCACAGTCAGACCATGCAATAATCGCTGTCCATTTAACTTTGACTTATTCAGCAAGGCAATGCTGTGGGGGGATATGATAGAGGTCTATAAAATCATGAGTGGTGTGGAGAGGGCCGATAAAGAAAAGTTATTTATTAGTTCCCTAAATAGAAGAACTAGAGGACACCAAATGAAATTAATGGGTAGCAGGTTTAAAACTAATAAAAGAAAGTTCTTCTTCACACAGCGTGTAGTCAACCTGTGGAACTCCTTGCCAGAGGAGGCTGTAAAGGCTAGGACTATAATAGAGTTTAAAGAGAAGCTAGATAATTTCATGGAGGTTAGGTCCATAAAAAGCTATTAGCCAGGGGATAGAAATGGTGTCCCTGGCCTGTGTTTGTCAGTAGCTGGAGATGGATGGCAGGAGACAAATCGCTTGATCATTGTCTTCGGTCCACCCTCTCTGGGGCACCTGGTGCTGGCCACTGTCAGCAGACAGGATACTGGGCTAGAAGGACCTTTGGTCTGACTCAGTATAGCCGTTCTTATGTTCTTATCCACACAGAATACAGCGCAGTCAAAAAAGCAAATAGAATGTTAGGAATCATTTAAAAAGGGATAGAGAATAAGACATAGAATATCTTATTGCCTCTATATAAAACCATGGTATGCCCACATCTTGAATACTGCATACAGATGTGGTCACCTTATCTCAAAAAAAGACACATTGGCATTGGAAAAGGTTCAGAAAAGGGCAACAAAAATTATTAGGGATTTGGAACAGGTCCTATATGAAGAGAGATTAAAAACACTGTGACTTTTCATCATAGAAAAGAGGAGATTAAGGAAGAATGTGATAGAGGTCTATAAAATCATTACTGGTGTGGAAAAAGCAAAAAAGGAAAAGTTATTTACTTATTCCCACAATATAGGAATTAGGGGTCACCAAATGAAACTAATAGGCGACAGATTTAAAACAAACTAAAGGAAGTTTTTCTTTACTCAGCACACAGTCAACCTGTGGGACTCCTTGCCAGAGGATGTGGTGAAAACTAGGACTTTATCAGGGTTCAAAAAAGAGCTAGATAGATTCAAGGAGATTAGATCCATCAATGGCTATTAGCCAGGATGAGTAGGAATGGTGTCCCTAGCCTCTGTTTGTCTGGAAATGGCTGACAGGAGGTCATGTGAGGATTACTTGTTGTGTTCCCTCCCTCTGGGGCATCTGGTATTGGCCACGTTCAGCAGACAGGATACTACTGGGCTAGATGTTCTTTGTTGTTTTTTTTTTTAAATTTAAGGGTGTAAATTTTTCTGTTGATCACAAACTTTGTATTTATTTTTTAATATGAAAGTTAGTTTAAAATTTCTTACTAAAACTGTTATTTACACTCTAAGGCCACTTATCCAAATTGGTGAACTCTGCAATGTAACATATCATTCTAGAAAATGCCACTCGAGGCGAGGAAAATGTAATTAGTTTTTATTAATACAGATTTTTCAGGAAGATTGTTTAATGAGAGCATTATTTTTAAAGAAATGTACCCAGTTTTGGTTTATTCTGCTTACATGTACATTTTGTAAAAGGTAATCCTTTTATTTTTACTTCAAAAATTATGTGTACTTTAATGATCTTCAAGTATATTCATTATCTTTTCAGTTTACAGTTTGGATGTTGTTGATAGACAGTGCTCTTCTGTGGGCTCTGAAAAAGCAGACACGAAAGCTGTAATGATATTAGTGCCTGTAAGACTCGGTGGAGAGAGAACCAACATGGACTACTTGGAGTTTGTAAAGGTATGAAATTAGAGTTCTTTTTTTTTTTTTTTTTTTTTTTCAAACACTAAGGTATAAAAATATTCTTCATGGTAATCTTCTAGCTATTAAATATGTGAGGATGATTTTACTGTTGTAATTTATAAAGTTTGACTTGACAGATTTTAAATGTCAGTATTACAAAATCACACATAATTGTAGAGCACGATGTCCTGTGATCTAGCAGTGGAAAAATATAGCATAAGTAGTTTTCTAACATGATTATTCAAATTACAAACAATAATTTAGTATATGTATGGTATTTTCATTTGTGGTGCCTTAAATGAACTTTCATATTAACCATCACTTAACAAATATAAATCAAGCTGTTTATTTTCTTCTCGTTTTTTATACTTACATAGCAAATATTGAAGACTACCAGGTGCACTTTTACAGCTTATTTCTTCTACCTTTTTTTTTTTTTTTCCAGATTGAAGGTTTATAATCATGTACCCAATTGGCAGTTTGTGTCCATTATTTCATTACCTGGAGGTTTGCATGTCTCTCTGTATGTGAGAAAGTGATGATTAAAAATGAAAAACATAGTAGGGATGTTAAATTTCAATTAATCAGCTAATTGTGTAATCGATGGAATTTCCATCGACTACTTGATTAGTCAATAAGGGGAGCACTCGCTATCCCACTGCACCTCTCCCTTTGAAATGTACAAGAGCCGCCTGTGGCTCTTGTATATTTCAAAGGGAGAGAGGCAGCAGGAACCCATGCCATTGGGGGGAGCAAAGCAGTCCCTGCTGGCACGAGTTCCCCTCTGTGCCTCTTCCTTTGAAATGTACAAGAGTCACAGGTGGCTTGAAGAGGAGCAGCAGTGGAACTAGCGTGAGCAGAACTGTTTCCCCCTGCCTCCTCTGCCCCCCCTGCAGAGATGGTGCTGGGTAGGTGGCACTAGCTTTTAAGCCATCTCCCCCCAGCACTGTCTCGTGCTCCCCCCTCCCCCTTGCTGCATCTGTCTAATAAAGGCAGCAAGGGTAGGGGGGGAAGGGTCTAGTCCAGTTCCTACTCAACTACCCAATAAGCAAATGCTTATTAAGTAGTTGACTAGTTGCTTACATCGCTAAAACATACCAGTATATCAAATTTCAGCACAGAGCTAGGAGCAAACAATTTAGTGTAGGGGTGGGGTGTTTTTTTCCATCTAACTTTTCATCAACAGATGTTCAGCTTTTTTAGTTAACTCAATACTTAAAAATAGTCTCTAAGAATTTGAACCGTAATTCTCATGTCCCCTGAGCACATTTTGGTAGTTTAACCAGCAGAATTACTTAATTCTGTTCCTTTCTTTTTACTATCCTATTGTTAATCACACAGAATCATCCTTTAATCTTGTCTAAATGTATATGACTGGACACTTTAAGAAGCTGCTCAGTAGCATTAAGAAAATCTGAGAGATTGGCACTTTAATTACTTTACCTGTTTTTTCTTTCTCTTAACTATCTGTTTCATTTTATTACTAAATTTCAGAAACAGTTATGAAACATGTTTATAGTCAAGGAGAGAACTGTGAAGTCTTGTTTATTTAAGGAATGAATTATGAAGTATCTATTCTGTCTTGATTCCTTTCCTTGTGGATCTAGACAGGTGATTTTAGAAGAGCCTTTGCTCTTTGCTAGTTAGTGTAGGTACTATAAAACATGTGCATGGTTGCAGACCTGATCTAATAATCCTACTCCTATTACAACACTTCTGCTAAAGAGCTTTTGAACGTCTGAATATAGAATCATAATGCCTTTATTTGTAGACTGACACACAGACCACTTTCGTTGCTTTTTTCATAAGGGTTTCTGATTCTGAGGTCCCTCTTCTTTAATGTGGGCTTCCGTATTGGTGTTGACCATTGTTTTACTGGGAAACATGCTGTCATTTGCAGATATCTCACTGGAGCTAGGATAAAAGGGGTTTCAATTGCATGCATCAATCATCTTCTCTTTGTAATTCGTTGACAGTGACTGTATCTTTGGTGTAGATTTAAATAAATGAAATGCAGACTTCAGAACTGAATTAGGTAAATAAGTGTTTACAAGAGATTTGGCAATTTGTAGATGATAGTTGTTCCTTTTTTTAATAGAAGAAAAGTACCTGATTCTCATAGAGAGATCAGACCTTTGTATTACCTAAGTAGTTCTGGTTCTGTTTTCCTGAACTGGAATAAGTTGAGTGAAGATGGACTTAGATAAAGAGAAGAAAACAGTTTTATATGCATAAGCATGATTTGTAATGCATTTTAGCTATTGTTAATATTTGAAATAAGTGGTATTTTCTCCTTGCCTATTTAAACCATTCAGAATTTGGTTTTCACATTGTTTGTATCTTGGTTTAGTAATGTGATAGCTCAAAAGTAGAAATTGTGTTAATATTCTCTTCTTAAAGCCAAACTTCTTGTTGAGAGAGAAATGTCACAATATAATTGATGATATGTAAAGGTCTTATCTTTAGTGGCTATACCCTAGAAATTGGGGCATGAGTGACCCTGACATTTTAGCTTAGATAGATAGTCTTTTGGAGGAGGAAGAGACTAATCCTCGTCTTGGCTTATGATGGACATCAGAGTTCTTATAAAACTCTTTTCTTCTACAGTGTCTGCTCTTCTCGGGGAAATGTTTCTTCCTCTATCACTCTAGGCTTCTATAGGTTCCTGCCTGAGGGATGAGATATAGTTCTGCCTGACTCCTTCCTGTTTCCCTTCTTAGGTATACATAGCATGTTTCTCTTCACAGAGTAGATCAGAGTGGGATTGGAGATAAAGACAGAGCACTCACTAGTGCACCTTTCTTACCTCCTCTTGTCTTTTAGGAGTATTGGTCTTAGAGGCAGCTGCAGCCTTTACTTGTGATATTAATCTCTCTGAGTGGGGCTTTACCAACAAACAGGAGGGAGGGTCTCAGCGAAAGGCTGAAAACAATATACATATAGAAAACTATAAAATATGTTAAACTTGATGCCTACAGTGACTTCAACTTTTGTTATGTTACATTTATTGTTCTCTTCTAAACTGCCCTGCCTGTCTTTTAAACTGCGAACACCTCAGAACAAACTGGGATCTTCCCTTCATGATTGACTGCCAGCATGTGGTCAGTTATGCCAACCACAAGCATTCAAAAAGTGCCCCAGAAAATTTTTACAGTTATTTTTAAAAATCATTTTTCAAGTATAAGCCTTATTTGTCTTTTGATCTTTGAGCACTTAAGGTTTACATTTCCTAGTTTTTTCTCCACAACTACAAGAACAAGAGGTTCTCGTATAATTGCATGACTCCAGGAATTGGAGCTTTCAGAAGAGCATCAATTCGTGAGACTTGGAATAAAATAGCAAAAGTTGGCGACACTGTGACACTTCAATATGTCATTCACCTTGATCTTTCTCTAAATGGTGATCAGAAAAAATTAGATGAATAAAGTTACACCATGTTACTTTAATTCCTCACCTCCTTCTGTTAGACTTTAAATCTGAATTATTTAATATTTTGTTGGCAGGGAATTTTGAGTCTTGAGTACTGTGTTGGTATTATTGGTGGGAAACCTAAGCAGTCATATTACTTTACTGGATTTCAAGGTTAGTGTTTTAATAAGAGATGTCTCTTTAGTGTTTTCCTTTTAAAGCTAGAAAGTTAATATAGGATCACTGGGCAGCTGAATGATTAAAATAGCAAAATGAGTACCTTATTAATTCATCATATCTAGCAAAGTACAGTCATTTGTCATTTGCCCCATATAGTAATTGGATTCTGTTAAATGTACATTTAATTTCTTTTGTTGCATAAACAAGGCATAATTTATGTTTCACCAAACTTTAGAAGCCTTTGCTGCTACTATCTGGCAGGTCTTATTTACATATTTACTTTTTACCAGTTTAAGTCATGCTAGTTGATGCTCAAATGACAAGCAATATGTTCTTCCTGTCAGGTTGAAGTAGCACAATGCATTTTTCATATACAAACTCTAGAATATAATTGTGTGTTTGTAAAAGTAATTTTATCACCAAAAATTAAATGACAGTCTCATCACTTTATAAAAATTCTGCTTATACAAGCATATTTGATTATGCAAAAGTTAATCTGTCCTGCAAAAACCGATGCTTCAGTCAATGAATATCAGTCTGGCAAGCAGTTACTTGCTGGCTTTTTTTTTCAGCTGTTCTGCATAGAAATTGGATTGTAAGCAGTGTAATAATAAGGTGTTTTTGAATTACTTGTCTTCTGTTTTGTCCTTGTAGATGACAGTTTGATTTACATGGATCCTCATTACTGCCAATCTTTTGTAGATGTCAGCATAAAGGATTTCCCTCTTGAGGTAGTATGGATAAAGAGCTAGTACTGTTTTTTCTCATATAAATCCTACACTAATTATTTAGAGCTGTTCTAGCTAACTGCAATTTTACAGTTATATGTTTGTCAAAATTTTGTTCTTCTTTATAGACTTCTAATCAACAAAAATGACCAAAGGTTAAATACTTGGCAGTGGATTTTAAATTATTATGTACTTCATTTAACTTGTCTTTATCTTGTTGTATACCAGAAACCCTCCACAATTAAAAGATCATGCCACTATAGACAGCTAGGCAGTACCATAATCCTTAAACATTACACCTGGGCTCTCTAATAATAATAATAATAATAATATAATAAATAAATGAATTGGTGTAAGAAATGTATGCTATAGTATAATGGGGTATAACTTTGTTTTGAACTATAAACTACATAAATCTGCTTCTTTAACCTGGAATTTTCAGTGTGTTCTCTAGCCATACTTGGTAGTTGCCATTTCAGTACTGTTGTATATTTTTAATTACTTTATAGGTCATTTACTTAGCTTCTAGCAGCTAAACATAACAGCTTCTTAGATCAGGATTTTCCATTGTTGTATTCTTTTTATGTGTGTCTTCTATGCTGTTCCTCTCAACAGGTTGTTTTATTATTATTTTTAATCAAATCAGCTCCACAGATTGGTAGCTTTCAAGGGCTTGTCAAGTCTGAAAGTGTAGTTACTGTTTCTTTTTGTTACCTATGGTTTACTGTCTCCTGGTTATAGTTAATGCATCTTTCGGACTCTTGAAAAATCTGACTTTTACATTAATATTTTCTTCCCTCTTCCAACAACTCACATTTTAAAAAAAGGAGTAAATTCAGGGAAATATCCTAAAGAATTGCATTTATAAGCAACCTGTAGACAAGCCAATATGTCCCTGGTATTCCTGCTAAAAGAGGTATTTGGTACAGCATCTTAAAACTTCTCCTTTTGGATTCTGTGATGTCCAGCCCTTACATGAACCTTCAGGTTTTTTCAAATTATACTTTATCAGTTACGGAACCCATCTGGGACCTATTCTTGTTGATTTCATTGGGAGACAAGGGTTCAAAGCACTTGCAGGCTCAAGCCACTAAAACATATAGCTGGTCTCTAGAGTGTAGTTCTTAGTGGTGTGGGGTTCTGCCAAGTTAAACATTAGAGAATCTAAAACACAATTTCACAAAACGACACCATAATTGGGGAGGAAGGAACATTTTCATGCCCCCATATTGGTTGCTTCCAGCAGAGTTCTGGGATTTTGAGTTCACCAGAATAATGAATACTATGGTAACACCTACTTAAAGTTTTGCTGCAAATCCTTCCGAAATATTGGAAATGAAGGAAGAAATACTCCTTTAAGCTTATGTGTTGTGAGTGCCAATTGGGAAATTCAGCACATTCTTAAATTGATGAAATTTAATTAGATTGAAAACATAAGTCAGATAGTTTATAACATAGTATGCAATTTTATTATGGCCCCCCAAAGCTGTTGTGTAACTGTTAGTTTAAAAACAGAAGAACTGGAATTATTTCAGTTTCCTTGTCTGATATTATTGAGTAACGTTCAGTTAACATACCAACTTCAAAGAGCTAACATGCTGAAATCAATCAAACTTTTATCAAAATATCAAATAGTGTGCTTAGCAGAACTGCTTAGATTCGTATAAGAAGCTTATACAAACACTAGTAAATAAAAAATTAAAACCTAACACTGGGTTAAAGCAATTATGAAACTAATTTCAGTGTTTAATTTTAACAGGGTTCTTTAATTAAGTTATGTTTAGTTATGTTTCTAGAGGGAACTTTATAATCACAGATTGCTAGTGGTTCTGAGTTTTAAAATAAACGTTAGGTCCTTTTGATAATCTCAAACAAAAGGGGAAAAAATTATTTATCTAAAACTCTTTTCATTTTATAGTGCCCTTTTGAGGGCCTCAGATGAAAGTTGGTAAACGAGCTAACTTTATTTGTCTTAGGGTAGGATTGTTGTCCCGTCCTGCTATGCCCTGTGCAAGTGCATAATAAAATACAGTCCCTGTCCTGAAACTCTTACAGTTTAATGAGATGAGAGGGGAAACAGAAGCAAAGAGAGGTGAAATGACTTTTCTATGCTCGCTGGGGTATGTCTACACAGCAGCATTATTTTAGAATAACTCATGCTATTCCGAAATAACATAGTGCAGGTCTACACTACAAGAGTTTATTTCGAAATTATGTAGAGCTGGAAGATTTCTTACTCTGACTCATTGGAACTCTCATTTCACAAGGAGTAAGGGAATTCAAAGGAAGAGTGTTCTCCCTTCAACTTCCTGCTTTGTAGGCAGACCAGAAATCTAGGTAAGCTATTTTGACTTAAGCTATGCAATTGATGGAGCTGAAATTACATAGCTTAATTTGACTTTAGCCCTGCTGTGTAGATGTACCCAGAGTGGCCAGTGAGCCAAGAACAGAACCTTCATCTCTGGGCTCTTAGTCCACTGATTTATCTACCAGACCATGCTTCTGCTTGTCATTAATAAGAATTTCCAAATAATAATGTGGTTTAAATGTATTTTGAAGATGTACAAGCTGCCAGCTTGGCTTGATCACATCATACTGCTTTTCTGGATACTGGATTGTGTATTGGAAGGTCATACTCAGTGCATTGAGTAGTAACGTATGATTTGTCCAGAAGTGTCAGAACATAAACAGAAATTGCTTTCTTAGTGTAGATAAATAGCTTGTTAGCTTTCTCTGTAGGAAATAGTTTCAAAATTGATAAATTATCCAGAATAAGTTGGAAATCAATCCACTCTATTGGCTTCTAGCAAACAGTTTTGGATGAGTGTGGGAAAAATATGCCTACTCACTTCTCTTTGAGAGAGTGACTTTCACAGCTGAATAATCCTTCTGCTGAACATACTACAAAACTACTCTTAGGATGTTTCATTACCACTTTTAGTATTACTGTTAGAATGCTTTACTTAAGGCAGACTTCCAATATCTAACTTTGATTAACTGAGAACTGCATGCAATATTTGGGCAGTGTTAGAGAAAACACAATAAATAGGTATCACAGTCTTGCAGAAATATAACTTACTAGTCTTTATTAGGGATGTAAAAATTCGTTTGTAATTTAACCGTCTAACTGCTAAAAATCCTAATGGTTACACACGTTGTGGGCTCTCTAGTATAAAGTTTTAAACTGCAGAGCTGGGAGCGAGGCTGGGGAGGCAACTTTGCGGACTCTGCAGCCAGCTCCCTGGAATCCAGCGTGTAACCTGCAGCAGGGGTGGGAGTGGGTCCCCTAGGACAGGAACAGGCCACTGTCTGGGGCATGCAGGGAACTGCTCCAGCCCCTACCAGTTAACTGAAACCTGTAAGCTTCTCCTGTTAACCATTTACATTCCCAGTCTCTATCAGTTTTGTAACAATTTAGTGTAAAATGTAAATTGTTTTATTTGTAACCATGCCAGTCAGTAGTAAAGAGCAATATCTGCCAATATAGTGTACAACTACCACAATGAGAAGCAATTAAAAAATTTATGTAGCTCTCTGTATTCTTGCAGATCTGCTTTTTACGCAGCTCAAAAATGAAAAGTAGGAAGGTGTTAGGAAGAGAGATTCTGCACCATTAGAGTGCTGGATATTAGCTTGCTTTGTTGCCCTTTCTATAGAGACAGGTTAGATCTTAACAGTTGTTATTTTGACTCAAGGATGAGCTAAGTGAGTTTTCCTGATGCACATCTAAATATCTCATATTACTTCCTTTTATATTGGTCTCTTAGGAAGTACTCGTAGAATAAAACTACTAGTCCAGTCTCAGTAGAACATGAAATGTGTACAGTTAAAATTTGTTTGATTTAAATACTAAGCTATTATAAGAGAATGATTAATGATTTAACAGAGGGCTTGGGGTGTGGATAGCTCTGAGCAGTAGTAGGATATAGAGCCTTACCCATTTAGATCACTGACTGCAGCCTAGATCAGTAATGACCAAATGGTTTAACCATAAGATGGCTTTTCTGTAACATGTGAAATGAGTTAATGATTTTTGTCCAGCTCCATAGAAACACAAACCCCACAACTGTTACCCATGTTCAGTCTTTATAATAATAAGTAGGCATGAAGACTGAAGTGAACTATTCTGTATTTATTCTTTTTAGTTTGGGAGTGAAGTGATGTGGGGAAGTTTGTGCTGCTATTACTTGTAGTTTCCATTTCAAAAGCTGTCAGTTTACCACCTATCATAAACACACATCCTTTTGTGTGAAATATAAAGTGGATTTTTGTACTTGTGGTACATTGTAATACACTGCCTTTGTACCCACTTCTCTTGCTAATGAAAATACCTCCCAAAAAGATAAATGATTAATGTAAGGGGGAAGTGGACGTGCATGGGGGGTTAAGCAATAATTGTAAGAGTGCAAATACTGCACCAAATGCACTTGGCACAGGAGCATTCACCTTCTCTACTTTGGGAATATTAATGAAATGATGTCATAAAATGCTGCTTCCAACTTTTGACAGATTCTACATCCTTTTTTTTGGACTGGCATTCATGTGGCATAATGGGAAGTTTGGTAAATAGAATATAACCTAGTACAGTTTATGTGGCCTTCTGAATATCAAGGGGTAAAATAACTTGAACATTTTTGGGGACAGAAATACCTTTAACAGTTTTCACTAGTTTGGGAGTGTGTGGTATGGTGAATTATATGGTAAAGCCATTAATGCTAGGCAAGAACATTGATAGCTATGTCTTCCTCAAGTCTTTCAAGGATCTTTAAAATGCTTTTATCTTGATAATTGCAGTCATTTCATTGTCCTTCCCCCAAAAAGATGTCATTCAAAAACATGGATCCTAGCTGTACAATAGGATTTTATTGTAAGAATGTGCAAGACTTTGAAAGAATTTCTGAAGAAATAACTAAGGTTAGTATTGAAATTATGAAAATGATATCTCTCTGATACTATTGTAGTTCTTGATAGTGTGTATGTACTGTGTTTATTAAGGATAGAGAATATTGTCTTAGATATATTAGATAGAACCTATCCTGTTCTAGAAACAGGATTTATTGATGAAGCACAAACGTACAAGAATTCTAGAATATTTTTACATCTCCCTAATATGAACATATAAAATTTGGAGAAAGAGAATAAATACCATAATAGATGATTGCTAAGAGAAGATTTGTGTAAGAGACAGACTGAAACAAACCGGTGTAGTATGATAAGTAGGCTCAGTATAGGATTATTCCACTAGGTGGCACTATTGAAATGAAAATATTTTTGTAGACAGCACTTTTTATGGTCATTGGATTGCCTTCAACTTGAAGAGAAATTTTTAAAATGCAGTCCTTCCTTTGGGGATGAAATTTTTTTAAAATGGAAATATTTGAGCAAAGCAAAACTGTGCATTATTTCTTGTTATATAAGTGCCATTTTGATTACATTTCAAGATAAAGAAATATTTTTATGACTTGGAAGCATTGTTTTAAAGCAGTAAAACAGGTATCATCCAGTAAACTTGCAATGTCCATTCCACTTGAAGAACATAGGAATAGATTTATGTACATAGGTTTGAATTTAATTGACAGACATTTTCTTCTAGACTATTGTAGTGTTTGAATGCCACTCGTGTTGTGTTCACGATGGTACCAAATAACCAAATGTTTTATCATCAAAAATTACCTATAAAAGGATTCAACAATAATGACATGTCATAATATTGTTACATTTGTCACAATGGTTATCACATCTATGCAAGGAATTAATGTTTGTACAATACTTAGAAAATATAACTTTTTATTTAAGTTTAAATATTTTTATTAGATAAGGTATGAACCAGTAAGTAATGTCAACATAAAATGGTCTGTAGGTTTTTTATGAAGTTCTTTTTTCTTTGAGCCATGGAGGACTAGGAAGTAGATCTAGAAGACAGGAACTCCATAAGCATTAGAGATATGGAATTAAAGTCTATAAAGCTTCATTATGTTTAGCTTATATCTCTGCTATGATTGAGAGATTTAAGAGCGTGACAAAATAGTGAATGAGAAATTGAGATATGTAAGAAACTTGCTCTTTTTTTCTATTGTCTCCCTCTTAAAATCTCAGGCCAGGTGAATTTCTCTCCTTATCCAATTGTTGGATGCTCTGAAAAGCATATTGTTTAACGTCAAAGTAGCTGATTTTAGTCTTAAAACTATTTTATTAGCATTTTAGTTTCAGGTTCTTTAATATTAATATGTCATTGTGTAAGTATACCCAAAATAAATTATGCATTTTCCCTAAAAAAGAGGGAAGTTTTCATATGAAGATTGTGTGACAAACAATTCTACCCATCCTCCACTCTACCCATCAGTCTGTTAATTTTTCCTGCTCTGCCTTTGACTGTTACTTTTCTGTTCTTTCATGATCACTTTAAGAAAACTTAATGCCTTAAATTGTAGCATAATATATTTCCAAGTCAAATGGAGTCACCCAAGTTAGGTTGATGAAGGACTTCAGATTTTTGCTTCTTTGGCAAGTGAAGTAGAGTTCTATAGACCCAGACTCTAAGGCTTGCTTGCTATTGGTTTTAAAATGCACTATAAATATGCCCTACTTCAAAACATAAAAAGTTGTTAATCTTTGAAAGTTAATTACTGATCGTGTCCATTTAAATTATTAGAAAAAATATGAAATGTAGATAAATTTGTGTTTTGGTGGGGGGAGAAAGTAGTGGTTCTCAGACTGCAGAGCTGTTTTGGTCAGCTTATAAAGGATCTGATAGTTCATACAAGGAATGATATTTCATGTACAGGATAAAGTTTCTGTGTGTGGTGGATGTGTTTTTGTAAGCCAACTAAATTAAAAATTAAGCAGCTCTTTGAACACTGCTCAGTTGCTTTGCTCATGTTTTTTGAGAATGGGTGTTTCTTTGGTAAAAACGCAACAGTGATCAAATTTATACCATAACTGTCCCAAAAATTGAAGGTTGTAGGAGTGGTTATAAAAAGAAATGTGTTTGAGAACCAAGCGATTTATTCATTTGGAAGTGTGTCTTCTAGCTCTTATCTATGTCCATTAAGTAGACCCTATTGATAGACAAACATTGCTTAGAAGTTGGTTACTGAGATCAGCATGTCAAATTTAATGAGCTCTCTTCTGATAATTGTCTCTTATTCTCATGAAAATCTGTACGGAAGTATTTTATATCACAAGTGTAATGTACATGCACACTTTTGCATTAAATTTTTCTAAAGCTAAAATACACTTCCAGAACATACCCATTGACTTGAATGGTAGTGATAGTCTGCGTGACGTGCAATTTGGAAATAATTTCTAGTTTTAATCAAGTTCCATACTGCAGTAGTTTCCATGACCACCTTTCTGCTGCCTTTTCTAGCTTACTTTCTTTTTTATCTCATTTTTCTTTTTATAATTTCCCTTAGTATTTAGTACTCAGAGAGGTGTGAGAGTAATGACTGTAGAGAATGAAGTCTTCTGTCATCTTCTATGCTGCCTTGTTTATTTAGCTCAGTCCTGACCTAGAGGGAATGCCTGTAGGGCTGAGAATGGTTCGGTCTCCATACTACTTCAGCTTCTCTGAGACTGTGCTGATGGCTTTTGTCTTGTAGACACATGTCATTTAGGAGCTAGACTATATGTGCTAACCCATTTCCATCAAACAGCTGCCATGTGACTATGAATTTCAGTTGTTACTGACTCAGGGCTGGCTTCATCTAATGAACTAGAAATGAAAGGCTCAAATGACCCTCCCCCCCCCCTTACACCCCTCTACCCCGGAGGCCTATAGTCTCTGTTCTTGTCTCAACTCTTTGCTTTCTTTCACAGCACTCATTTCTTTTCTTTTTTCTCTTTTCATTGTCTTCTGCTCATCACAGTTGTCCTCATATCTCTCTCTTTCTTCTTTCCCTTCTTCCCGGTTTTCACAGCATAATAATAGAATGAAGTGAAATAGTCTAGAATAAAGTGGGAAATTGCTGAGCACAGTAAAAATGGCAAAATCTGATTTTACTTTGAGCATCATTTCCCACCACCTTGTTTTTTTTAATGACTCATACTATTTAAATATCCAAGCATTTTAGTGTTTCAATTGCTTCTAATTAAAGCAAATTATATTTGTGGTTCATAGTTTGATCACTTCAATGCAGGTGATAGCTGTAGACTAATTTAGCTTAGCATATACTAAAGCTGTGTATTGAGATTTACTTTCAAAGGTGATCAGCAACTTTTTTTAAACTTCAATGAGTGTTGAATACCTTAAATAAACAGTGGAAAGGGTATTTAAGCCTTTTTGTATCTAGGCTAGTGATACATACAACTAAAACTATTTTTATTTATATGTGTGACTGATCACTGTTAGTATAAATAGCTTCCTTGACAGAGGCTCAACTTTTTTGTCTCTTAGGAAACAGTTGGTATGTCCACACTGTGTTAAAAATTCAGATCTGTGGGACATGGTCTTATGGGCTCAGTATTTCCAAGCCACCACAATGGAGTGTCCATATAGCATTATAAACCTATATTTACAGTTGTTGGACCCTGGTCTCTCCACTGTGCTATTGCATGTTGTGCAGTGTGGACATAAAGGGAAGTCTCTGATGCATAGCAGTCTGTTAGGATTTGTAGTATGTTTAAGGATTTGTAGTATGTTTAAATAGTATGGCTGTAGGTGCTCTCTGTGCCCTAAAAATTCTTCCGGAAATTCCAGAAGGTGCTAACCTGCCCCACAAATCCTAGTCGCAAATCAAGAGATGACAGAAAATATGAAGACTGTTCTGCAACTTGTTCCACATGGACGGAAGCTAATGGAGTTCTACATATGTGTAAGTGGTTCAGTTTGCCTGTGTGTAACAAGTTGCAAGATTGGGGCCTGAAACTCCAAGTCTGGTTATTGTATCAAGAAGAGGCTGAGTTAGAAAAATATTTATTTACCACAAAAAGTGGTCTATTGAGAAGCTGTGCGGTGTGTTTGTTCTAATGTGACAAATGAAAATAAAAACAAATATGCATATTACATATTGTAACATGTTGTAATTAGATGAATACACCTGGGTATCGTATCCTTTCATTTTCAATTAACATTTTATCTGGTGTGTTATCTTGCATTGTAGATGCTGAAATCTTCATCTAAGGAGAAATATCCTTTGTTTACTTTTGTAAAGGGTCATTCTAGAGACTATGACTTTGCCTCCAGTCCTCTTCATGAAGAAAATGATGTTTTCTCCAAGAATGAAAAGAAGAGATTAAAAAGATTTAGTACAGAAGAGTTTGTCTTGCTTTAAGGACATTTTACAATAAGGTATTGACAGCTGTCCTTTTAAAAAATTGTACAGCACAAGGCAAGCAATATTGAAATTGATCTTGTTTTATAAAGATTATAATGTTGTATATGTTAGGTCTTTCAAATGTCACTTATAAATGTAATAACTAGTTATTTTTGGTTTGTTCAACGATAGTTGGATGAATACAGTGACACTTTTTGCTAGTGAAGACAGACAGAGTTGTTAAGTTAGACACAATGTAACGTGGACGGATACCGTGCATGCCCTCCTGGATAGCTCTTCCAGTGAGCCTCGTCTTGATCTGCAGTTCCCACTGCTGTTCCAGTTCCATTTATATGGTGGTTTAGTGGTGTGGATATGTCTTCTAGTTTTGAGACTACTAGATCGTTTCCAGTTGTAAGCAAAACTTGAATCTAGGGCTCTTGAAGAAAAAGTCTAATGCATTTAATCTATTTTGCTACTTAAACCCCAATAATGGTGGTAGTTATAATCATGAGATACCTTTTTAGCAGAGCATACTAAAAATGTAACTTTGATATATCAATAGTAATTGTTAGCTACAATCCAGATGCAATTATATAAGCAGAATTATGAGCTAAGGTACTATTTAGCAATATTATTTTATAAAGGCTATTCATTAAACTTGCTTTTGAACCTTAATATGAGGAATGAATATAAAGTATTGGATTTCCCCTGCAATTTTTAAAGGTTACATTATTAATATTAACTTTAACCAATCAAAGCAGATAGACAGTTATTAAGTGGGAGAAGTGTTTGTTTCCTGTCTTGACCATGTAATTTTTGAGACTTCTATTCCTACCCATTCTGCTTCTAAATCAGAGCATAAAACAGCAGATAAGGAGCAGACTGTAAATATTTTGGGATATGATCTTTTGTTATCTGCCATTACTGTAAATTGCTTGTGATGATTTTTAGGTGCATAAAACATCTAGCAGATAAATCTACATGAATAGTTTCATGCTTTAACAAAGCAAATTCAGAATTTAAAATACACACTAACACTGTACAAATTAAAAAATTAAAGGTACGAGAATGTTAAATGCATGTCCTTTTGAACTGTAATGGTACATTTCACTGTAATGATACATTGTTTGAATTCTGTATCTAAAAAATGAGGGGCAAATACTTTGTAATAAGACAAATTTTATTGTAAATCAACTGTTAACTCCTTCTAAAGTGCCTTTTTGGCACAAGAATGCATAAATGTTGTCTATCCAAATAATATCCTATGTGTCACTAAAAGGAAGTAATAATTGTTCCCATGGTCAAAACTAAATATTTCATGATCAGAAAAAGACTACTGCATATTGATTCAAAAAAACTGTCTAAACTAAATGTTGTTTTTGATTCCTTGCTTAAAAAGTTACTTGTGACCTCTCACTCTTTAAAGCCTATTAGGCATGTTAAATTTATTGTAGTCATACAGATTGGAAACAGGAGGAATGTTATTAGTTACCTAGTTCCCCTTTATGCATGTACATTAGTGTCTGGCTTATTCAGGTATTCATGGTCACATGTGATGGGACTTCCAGCACTTACTTGTGAGAGTTTTTCACACAATAATATTCTTCTGTGTAAAGTTTTCCCTTTAATTTCATCCTATTCCAGAAAGTTAAGTTCTTGTACCATCCTAAGTAATTCCTCTTCTCCTCACTAGAGTTTATACATTAAGTATTTGTATAACGTCATGCCCTCCTTTTAGTAATACATTAACAAATATGTATGGCTTTGTTAATCTGCCTTAAATCCATACCAACCTACCAGGCCCCTGATTGCAGGGCTATTACAAGGGACAAGTGGGTACATCGTAATCAGAGACGCAAAGATGCAATCAGTAAACATAATCTGCAAAAGTAAAGAGTGCGACACGTGCTAACCTAAGGAGAGTGGATGTATAATGAATATTTTGATCCTTCACAAAAATACCTAATTATGGCATTGCCTGGTTGTTTTTATTATTCTGCAGTGAACTTTAATTTAATACCTTGAACTCCTTGCCAGAGGATGTTGTGAAAACCAGGACTTTAACAGGGTTCAAAAAAGAGTTAGATAAATTCATGGAGGTTAGGTCCATAAATGGCTATTAGCCAGGCTGGGTTGGAATGGTGTCCCTAGCCTCTTGTCGGAGGCTCAAAATGGATGACAGAAGAGGGATCACATGACTATCTGGCATTGACCATATCAGAAGACAGGATACTGGGCTAGATGGACCTTTGGTCTGACCCAGTATGGCTGTTCTTATATACTTTTCTGTCAAAGAAGCAACAGAAAGGTAAGTATCTATGAGATCAGAAAGAATAAATATGATATAGTAAATATTACAGTAGGATGTATATTAGCACGTATGTTCCTAAACCCACATGTCTGTTAAAAGAAATGTCCCTTCATTCCCTATTAGAGACCCCTTTCTTTTCAACAGTAACTAACTAACAGGGTGTGTCCACACTATAATGTTATTTCAAAATAGTTATTTCGAAATAGCTTATTTCGAAATAACACGTCTACACACAAAATGCATTCGAAATAGCGTTTCCACACTGAGTGGATGCTGAATTGCATTTAAGCCTGACCGGAAATAGTTCCGGCAGGGCACCAGGTCAGGACTTACTGTGTGGGGGCTGCTGCCTGCGACTATCTGAGGTCTGTGCTTAAAGGGACCCCCCCGGACAGCCAGTTCTCAGGTTTCCCTGCTTGCTTGCCTACCTCAATGAGGGACAGTAAAGCAATTTGTCTCTGCGTGCTCTGGTTGCCCTCACTCAGGACACCACAGCACTCTGTAACATGGAGCCAGAGCTGCCCCTGGGTACTCTGGTGCTTCTCTTGGGATGCGTTGCTGTGAGCCTGGCTGCACTTTCTGCAGGCTGCCATCCGGGAGGTCTATCGGGGGGGCTGTCAGTATCCAGGAGGCCCTGCGGGAGAGCTTCCACCGTGAGGAGCACTGTGAGCCTCCCTGGTCTGCCCCACTGGGGGCTTGTGCCTCATTCCTCCCTCACCCCCCTTCCTGATGTCAAATAAAATACATGTACTTTCATGAACACAAACTCTTTATTTAACAAAACTGGGGGGAGGGAATGAAACTCTGGTGAGACTGGGGAAAGGAGGCGGGAGAAGGGAGAAGAGAGGGTGGGAGAGGAGAGGGGGAAACCTGAGAGGAGGGAGCTGGAGGGGGGAAGAAGGAGGAGGGGAAGCTCAGGGTTGGGAGTCTCACCGGACCAACTTGATTGTTATGCAAACCTGCTCCTGGGTTCGCATGTGGCCTTTGGTGGCCAGGCTGGCAGCTATCCTGCCAAAGACGGCCGCGTTCCTCCCTCTAGTGTGGAGATCATGGATATTTACAATAAAATGTAAACAAAAATGGATCTGGAATATTTCAACAGATTCACATTTGTTCTAGGATCTATAGAGACATTTTCAGTTCTTAGTCTTATAACTTATAAAGAAGGCCTATGATTTAAATATCTTATCTAATTTAATTTTAATGATAGACCTTTCATTGTATATTTATGATGGGAAAACTTGCATAGAAAACTGTTATTATTAACACACCTGGTGAAGATGCTATTGTGTCCTTTAGTCTACCCTAATAGTGTGGCATTCAGAACCAACTGTACAAATTTGTTAGAAATTAGTAGTAATTTTCAACTACCTATTGCTCACACCTCCAACTTCTATTTATTGTTCTTTCTTCCATGTTGGTGATTTAAGTAATTGCCTCAAAATTCATTTACATAAACCTCTATTAAGGAAAGGGGGACAAAAATGAATGCAAAGGAATCTTTTGAAGGAGCAAGGGGAATTAATTATAATTCTGTGCTAGTTCTCGGGAAAAGAAGTGCAGTCCAGGCTAAATTCCAGGTTGGCTACTTAGGAAAGAGTAAATTTTCTACTTGTATTTCCAATGAAATATAGGTCTTATTCCTGGCCTTAAATCTTTTTCTGATCCCTCTTGGTCAGATTTCTTGCAACCTTTGTTCCATAACCTCTCTTCTCTATATTCCTGGTAAATTTGATCTGTTAAAATGGATTTAATCGTGTCTATGTTAATGCTCCTGCATTCACTTCACTACCCATAATGTTTCACCTTTGGTAGTCCTCATCTCTATCTCTATCTCTATACATGGTTTTCCTATACTATACTAGGACTCCGAATTTTATAAATAGACAAATACAACTAAGCTAGTGTCATTATTTTTCCAGTAATAGAAATGTAGCCGTGTTAGTCTGGTGTAGCTGAAGCAAAATGCAGAGCTATGTAGCATTTTAAAGATTAACAAGATGGTTTATTAGATGATGAGCTTTTGTGGCCCAGACCCACTTCCTCAGATCAAATAGTGGAAGAAAATAGTCACAACCATATATACCTTTGGTTGTGACTATTTTCTTCCACTATTTGATCTGAGGAAGTGGGTCTGGGCCACAAAAGCTCATCATCTAATAAACCATCTTGTTAATCTTTAAAATGCTACATAGCTCTGCATTTTGCTTCAGCTACACCAGACTAACACGGCTACATTTCTACTACTGGAAAAATAATGACACTAGCTTAGTTGTATTTGTCTATTTATAAAATTCGGAGTCCTAGTATAGTATAGGAAAACCATGTATAGAGATAGAGATAGAGATGAGGACTACCAAAGGTGAAACATTATGGGTAGTGAAGTGAATGCAGGAGCATTAACATAGACACGATTAAATCCATTTTAACAGATCAAATTTACCAGGAATATAGAGAAGAGAGGTTATGGAACAAAGGTTGCAAGAAATCTGACCAAGAGGGATCAGAAAAAGATTTAAGGCCAGGAATAAGACCTATATTTCATTGGAAATACAAGTAGAAAATTTACTCTTTCCTAAGTAGCCAACCTGGAATTTAGCCTGGACTGCACTTCTCGGCGCTCCCCCCCGCCCCCCCCCCGCCGAGTGCCGCGCGCCCGGCGCTCCCCCCGCCAAGCGCACTCCCCCCGCAAGCGCCCGTGCGCCATGTGCCCGGGGCCAGGCCAGCCCTGAGCACCTGGCGGGCGCATTGAAATGCCCCCGCGGGCGCCATGGCGCCCGCAGGCACCGTGTTGGGGACCACGGCTTTAAAGTGCTACATAGCCCTGCATTATTTTTCCATGTTGCCCAGAAAGCTTATTAAATAAGTCTTGAAACTTAATAGTTCAAGATCCTAACCCCTACCAGTCTTATTTTCTGTTCAGAGCTCATTGTCCCAGTGAAAAAATGGCGAAGGCTCAGAAAGAAGACCTAATGACTTGTGACACACTGTTTTGGAAAGCATGCTAGTATATTTCCTGAGTCCGGCACTGGCAAGTTCACAGGTTGTCCTCATCTCTGAAGGTTCCTGTACAGTGGTGACACAAGTTAAATTACGAAGTTACTAGAAATTAATGTTTTTCTGTAACTACTGGGGACTTTAATTGGAAACTATGTTAATTGCATAGTAATTCTCTTTACTTCTCCTGAATACTGTGCAATCAATTTGTGTCATCACTGTTGCTGCTGCTGCCTTCAAACACAAGCCAACTGTGCATTAGTTACTCACACACACAGCAGTGGTCTATATTCTTAAACAGGTTATACAAATCATTGACTGATTAGGTACTTGCTTTCTTGATGGAACTAGCCTCTCTATCATAGAATTTGGCAAATATGGCCATATTTTAAATAGATCTGTTCTTTCCCCACCCAATAACTTTCTGCTGTTTCCCTTCTTTTCTTAGGAGGGTTTTTTTCAGTATCTCATACCAGCAGGAGTCCTCTCTGCCAGAGCTTTGGGTAACTAGCTGAGACTTAGCCTTCTGCATCTAGCAAATGCATATGCCTCCATTTATTAAAGTGAAGTGAAGTCTTGGGGTTGTCTTCCACAAATCTCTAGATTAGTTAGTGACCAAAACCCCTTTTGCCACCAGTTTTCTAAGAAATCCTGGTTATGATGGCCCATGTGTTTGTCATCACTTGTGAACCAGACTAGTGGTGACAAACACCAAGGCAGAAGTGAGCTTGAAAGAAGGACTAAGATTCATATCGTGGATACTCTCTGATTATGAAATGACCATAGAAATTAGTGTGGGTAGGGTAGCTGTGTATTGTTTTTACAGCAATCAAGTACGTTAGGTGTGGATGGTTGGATCCTGCTCTCTAATCTCGTTAAGCAAAAGATTTTTTCAGCCCAAGGAAAGTCTAGGTAATTTTTAAGCTCGCCTAGACAAAAGATGTGCATTGAAATCATGATGCAACTTTATTTGCTGAAAATGTGGCTTACATGGGAAGCATGTTTGTAAGTTACATTAATTAC